CGCATAAGTCACCGAAAAGACAGTATAAGTCACAGGATCAGATGTTTTTTACTCTGTCATTCATAGGAGACATACATTTAGTCTGAACTGATAACGGAAGGAAAAAATAGGATAATTATGCAGCTTTTTATTAGTCTTTGTAGTAATGCAATGCACACTGGGTTTATTGCATGGTGACTTGTGCCAAAACCGCTTGTATTAAATGCATAAGAAAAGGTACGTATTTTTATTTATGTTTTATTGGGAGTGAAACTTATTGATTTATAGTATGGTCTTGCTTTTTTTGGGTCTGTGTAGCATGTGTATTGCCTTACTGCTGCAGTTAGCTTCAAATGCTAACTTATTCTGTCGTCATTCTGATTCAGCTGTGATAGCCAACCATGGGCTCTGACCTCTTAAGAAAGTGTATCAGAGTCAGTACTCCTCCAGCTTTCTGCGTGCAAACGTTACAAATGTATTTCTGAGCTTAAAGTCATACTGAGGTGACTGTATTCTGAATTTGAGATAGTATTTAGCAGGTTTTCTAACATGCCCCTCTGGTTTGTGAGGGGTTTGTGTTTAAAGGTTAGCAAAAGAGAGGCGGTGAGAGGAAACACAATTGGTGGAAGAGTGCTGTGAAGCAAAGAATGAAGAGTAAGCAGAGGACTGCAGGAGCAAATTATATTTATATTCCTCAAAGTGGATCGAAGGAGCATCAGAAACCTTGTTTTTAACCGTGGCAATAAACGCCATTCAGTGCCATTATCTGAACGACCTGATTGATTCGCGACAGAAGTTTCTTAGAATAATACGTGAGGACTGTTTTATCTCTGTAAGTTAATTGTTGGTTTTGTAAAAATCAAGATGAAACTCCTGTTATGTCCGACTGCACAAAGGACAAGAGAGCGACAGAGCAGTACAGCACGCCGAGCTGGTGCCTAAAGAAATTGCCCTTTGTTGAAATGACTATATAACTGCACTGGTTGTCAGGGGGAAAACAGCTTAAAGCTATCCTGAAAGAGGAAGTGCCAGAGCTTTTATGTTGACATATGATCCAGCTGAGTAGCAGATAGGATTGTGGCTCTCTGACTGCAGAAGCTGAGGCCCTGCTGAATCTTCAGCAGAACTTCCGGACATAGGAAACGTCAGGGGCACATCCACTTCAGTGCAGAGAAATCTTATTCCCCGTGGATGAGGTAGTGGGAGTTAATTCCGACCTCTTTTAACAATGTGGAATATATCTCCATAAGATTTTGTGAAACTTTCCCCTTTTGTTTGCATTTCTCAGGACGAATGCACTATCCTTCTGGCTAGTCTTGTTTTAGGTTGGAATTTATGCCTTCAGAAGTCATTGAAGCTTTTTCTTTGTGCTTTTGGAACCTCCCCCTCTTTTTTATGGTATTTTTCTTGGCATCAGATGTTTCCTCTTTTTCTTTAACCCACTTTCACCCCTTTCCAAATGCCCCCTCCCCTTCCCAATTTCCCTCTGAATCCCTCTGTGCATTTCAGTTAGACCCTCTTCGCCCCATTTTCCCAGTGCCTTGCATTTCCTCTCCTCGTACCTCTCCTCATCAATTTCTGTAAAATTTTGCCCCCCCCCCCTCTTTCCCTCCGTACCTCTCACCCTCTCACTGCCTTCCTTCCCTCCCCAGCTCATGTTGGTAAAAATATCTGCAGACAGCAGTAGCAGAGGCACGCCTGACTCTCTCTCTCAGACATCCCACCCATGTGATCTCACAGGCTGCCTCTGCTCTGCTCCACTCTGCTCCAGTCAGGCTCCTGCCTTTCAGCCGGCTGCAGCTAATGAGCCTTTGTGTGGCCAAAGAGATAAAGAGGAAGCAGAGAGCAACACAGTGACAGAGAGGGATATAAAGTGAGAAAGACTTGTCTTTTTGTAACAATAAAGCATATGGTACGGCAGTGCAGTCGGAGCTGGAAAATTACTAGTCACTCTCCTCACTCTCACTCTCCTGCACCCTTCTTTCTCATGCCCCTGGAGCTCAGGGGTCGCTGCAAGTCAGTGGACTGAAACAAAATGGGAATCTCTTCATTCATCATGTTTCACCTTTATTGAATAGCCACATTTGTGACTGTGCGGCTGCTCTGCAGTGAGAAGAGGTGAAAGGAGTCGCTCTCTGCCAGTGGATACAGGTCAGTTGTTCCTGTGAGGGCTTGCATTGACACACACACACACGCACACACACGTGTGTTCACGCACGCACGCATACAAACTCGCACACAGATGTCTAATGCGGTCACAGAGGGACTGATGTGTCATGACTTGCTCCAGACGCCACAGGACTGTGGGCATCACTTCTTATGAGCTCTCTCAGCCTCGTATGGTCAGATAATTGTTTTCTTGATAGTGAGAATTTTGTGAATGGTGTTGGGAGGAATGTCTTTATTTTGGATGTGAGCGTGCTAAAGAGCTGCGAGCGATGTTGATTAAGGGTAAGAGTTAATGTGCGTTTGCACAGAGGCAAACACAGGGAGGGGCTTTCCATGCCGGCTCCTACTGCATTATTTTCACTGGGATTTTCTCATTTTTACAATAGTATGTGCTGCCCAGCCATGATTAGTGGTAAAGCAACAACGAAGACAAAGGAAGAACTGTTGTAGAGGGGTAGCAATCTCTGTTTTTTATTAAGCTACAAATGAAAGGGGTTCACCCTAGGTTACCCACAGCTCTGTGGTTTATGATGTCATGGGCATTCAGTTTCAATATTTCAACTTTTCATGGCTCCATAAGAGAAAGCAGATGCATCAGCAACACATGCGTCTGAGGAGGGAACGAATGCAAATATCTGAGAAGAATTCTCTCTGACATCAGTGCTTTGTTGTTGAGTGTCCTCATACTCAGTATGTAACACTGGAAATGCAGCCATATGGGGAAGCACTAGTTATGAGAGTACATTAGAATCTCCATGGAAACCACTTTTAGTATCAAAGCCTAGTGCAGCATCAGCTAAGGGCGAAGCTTAGGAAAAAGCTTCCAACAATGGTATCTAATTAGGACTCTCACTAGGAAATGGACTAAAATCGCACAGGTCATATCTGTTGGAAATTTTCACCCCTGCTTGCCAACAAACGAGTGGATTGTAAAAGAAAACTGTTTCAGATGGGTGATCAGCAGCTTTTGTTGATCACCGTTTTAAATCTCTCAAAACCTAATTATGTAACGTATTCCCCCTTGACTTAATCTGAGTCTCGTCACGCTCATTCAGAGGGGAGCCGAGGTTCAGCTTCTTGTCAGCCAGATCAGTTAGTTTTACAGACTGGAAAAGATGGTTCCCTCTAGCTCAGGATATGGCCGCATATTTCTCACCCATAATTATAATGAATTCTTTGTGAAGAGAAATCTTTTCAATGAGGTTACCCCGACTGACTTCCCTCTCCCTTTGCTTTCTCCCACACGGAGGATGCCATACATTCTTTAGTTGTAGGTAGATGTGTTGACTCTGGAGGTTCTCCAAATGCTGGCCGTGCCGTGTCACTGCGCTGAACAAGCACAGCTCCCATGGAACAATGACCCTCTTGCTGGCACCGCTAGTGCTAGCTGGGTTGTACCTCTCTCTCAGGCAGTATTTGCATCTGAAATGACTTGATAGCAGAGCCCAGATGAAACAGCGAGGCTGTCTGTGAATGGAACTCCCCCACAAGCTGCTCTGGCAGCTAGACAGAGCGGGACTGGCGGAAGATGCACACTGTCTCTTTATGATTCCAGGTTCTAAGAGAGGAAGCAGTGCCAGTCATAGCAATCCTCGCAGTGCCACTACAGCACCGTTGTGTTATTCCGAAACGTGACATGATGTTCCAGTCACTGCTGTTGAAACTGGGGATACTAGGTTTTGCAATAAAGCTGTGTATTTTCAACTATTGTACTCCTAACGGTGTAGCTTCACTACACACATGGCAGAATATTGACTGGAACAAAAGCATTCATCAGACTGATGTGCAGTTTGATAGTTACCGTGCAGTGGCATTAAAAACAGATTCTGTGTACTAGCAATTAGTTTTAGTGTATTTGACAGATGAGCCTGTCTTTGTTTATTTATCTAATTGCATCATCAGTCAGTGGAAGATAATGGACTCTCTCACTTGACATTGAGAGGGATCTGTTACTAAAACATTTGCATGAATGCCAACCACAGACATTAAACTAGAAATAAGTGTTTTTCAGGATCTGTGCATACCGTTGCTGTTCTCTGTCACTGTTACAGAGAGTGACTGCGCTTTAGTGACTGTCACTGAACGGTTCATTATATCTACAGCTTACTTATTCTATTTTATTTAATTTTACAATGCCCTATGATATAGGTTTTTTGGGTGCATTTGTCGAGCATCATAGCAGCAGTTGTAGCCTTTTTTTGTATAGATTTTTGCTCTGTGCGACTGTGACTGCAACTGCTTTCACCACAGGATTTCTCTCTTTTTTCTTTCCGTCTCTGCAGGAGGCATCTGATTTAAGTGGGGCTCATTAAAGATAGTGATAGATCTGCATGCCACTCCTTGTGAAAATTGTCACATTTTCCCAGTGACATGGAAATATGTGCATGTTCTTGTGTAAAAATCTATTTCCACACCTCATGCCAATTTGGTTAGAATGTATTACTTATTTCAGAAAAAAAAACTACACATAATATTATATATTGTAAATCTGTTAATCCTGACAGACAGCAGTGCAAGACAAGTCAGTTCAGTCAGGCTTTTTCTCCAGCCTTTCAATCAAACATAGTGGAATGAACTTCCTGTAAGGCAGATCTAGTATGTAATTAGCAGCTTTCTTCTTCCCTCCCAGCTCCTTTGTGCCAAGGTGATCAATGGCTCAGGGGAATGCCTGGAAGCTGGGACAGCAGCAGGAGAGATTCTGTGTGTGTGTGTGTGTGTGTGTGTGTGTGTGTGTGTGTGAGTGAAAGTGGGGGTGCCTGGGTTGGTTGCTAATTGAGTGAGCTGAGGATTATGAAGGCCCTAAACTGGATATCAAATAATGTGTGGCCCCTTTTGCTGTCTCTGGGTTTCAGGTGCAGATGCGGCAGGCCATGAGCGGAATACTGAAGAGGAAATTTGAGGAGGTGGAGGCCTCCTCCTCCCCGTGCTCTTCTGTGCAGGAGTCTGATGATGAGGTCTCCTGCAGTGAGAGTGGGGATAGCAGTGACAGTGTCAACCCCTCTGCCTCAGGTCCTTTCACCCGTGAGTGCCTGTGTCTTTTCAAATCCACGCATTATTCTCAGTGTAGCAGTGGTACGCCATTGACAGTAAGATTAATGTCATCATTTCATATCAAGGGAAACAAAGCTGAGCACTGAAAGGGATTTATAATCGTGATGTGAATAACTCTCCGAGCTAGTTTGATTTTGACTAGCTCACAATCATTACAGGAAGCAGGTCAAAGAAAACAAACCTGCTTGTCTGTTGATAAGGGAGTATCGTATGAATGTGGAAGTGCGGCTGTGCATTAGCGGAGAGAGGCAGCGAGTGCTGTGATAAAGGGGAGGCATGCACAGTCAGCCTTCCTCATTAGGAGCAGCATCAGTGTGCAGGCTCAGGGAGAACGAGCTGATGCAGGCTGTGTGTGCAACACTGTTGGCACTGTACATGTACTGAGCCACTCTGTGAAACAGTGTTACAGCTTTAAACCAGTTAATTAATCCAGACGTGATGGAGAGTTTTAATGTCTTTTTTGGGAACATGATTTTTTTTTTGGTTTACAGAACGTGGTGGGGAAAAAATGACTTGATCCAAAAAGGACATCTTTGTGAAAAAAAAATACAGCGGCTTGACAATAATGGCGTATGTAACTATGCTCCACCGCTGTGCCCTGCCAGGCAAGCTGTCGTGTCTAACAGCACAAAATAAACTCAACAAGAGCACTAAGGGGGAGCATAGTCCAGAGCTTTATTATGCAATATGGAAACAAAAAACAAAATCAAATTGGTAATTTCATCTAATAATAAGGCAGTTGGATAATTAAGCAATTGTTGTCTTCCCAAATCTTTGTAGGAATCTGCTATTATTAAAAAAGTATTGTTGTAAAGAAACTAAAAATAATAAATCTCATACTGATGTTAGCAGAGGTTTTACTCCCCTTGGTAGTTCTGTCTGCTTTACAGTTTTAATAGATTTCTGTTCCAGAGTTTCTGTGAGTTCTCCGTCTCCCAAATGACCTCACTCTCATGCATTTGAGGTATTGCTCCCACAAGGCTGGTTAAGGAAGTATTTTCCACCGTCAGCATTGTTATATTAATTTTTTAAAAATAATTCGCTGGTTCTTTTTCATGTTGACCCACTTATAAAGAAACCTATTTTGGACCAGGTATCTTTTAGTAACTCCACACTTTCCCTTTTATGTAAGGTTTTAAAGAAAGTAATCTATGAACAGTTGATAGAATTTTATGAGTGATACATTTTTTTAACAGCTTCCGTTGTAGTTCTAGAGCGCTTCATGGTGCAGACACAGCACTTGTTAAAATGAATAATGACCAACTGCTTTTTGCAAATAAAGAAGAATGTTTCATTGAGATTTAATTTGCTTCCTCTAATGCTAATGATCACTTTTCTTTATTTTTGCTTAACCTCCTAAAGGCTCATCTAAGGGTGAACCTTTGGCCCATGCTTCCTTTGCCCAGATTATTAAACAACCAAAAAGCACGATGATGACACTCAGGTTCATATACCATCAACACCCACAGATTCCACAGATTCTTATCTCAGTTGTCCTTCTCACGTTAAATTCTGAAAAGCCCCAGATCTCCTTATTAAACGTAACGATGATAAACCAGGTGGTATTCCCAGGTTTATTCGATATTGTTTCTTATCTTGGCAATCTATCAAATAGTGCTGCCCAAGCTGCTGGGATCTCGATGTAAAACAAGTCCAAAATGTTGTTCAGTCTTATTCTTTCAGGCAATATTGGATTGGGTTCAAACACTGCAGCACGAATCGTTTCCAGGAATAAGATTCTATTTATTTTACAAGATGATTTGTTTTCCTCTTTCTCCCGTGCTAAAATTTTCTCACCAAAACTCATGAAATCTTCAGAATTTTTTAACACCATGACAGAAAAATAAAAGAAATTGGCCTACCTCTTGAAATATGTTTGCAATAACTCAATGCTGAGATAAGCCGCATCAAACTAAAACCAGTCTCTTTAACTTCTGCCAGATTCTTCTCATCCTAATGCTAAATTTGTTTGCGCCTGCTTGTTAATCATGTACTTGTTTGTCAGTCTTCCAGTATGTTATGAAACATAACTGTGCATATCTATTCACAGTATGTATGTACACATGATTTTCTTTATTTGGATATATTCTGGAAACATTGCACGGTGCTTGCATGATTGAGTTTCCTTTGCTCTTTTTTGGATTCTATACTGGTCCACAAGGCAATTATTATTTCTCTTTTATCACACAAAGGAAACACACATTTACTAGACACTTCTTTTATTGGATACACCTGTTCAATTGCATGTTAACACAAATGACTAAACAGGCAATCACATGGCTGTTGCTTAATGGATTTAGGCATGTAGGGGTGGTGAAAACAACTTGCTGAAATTCAAACTGAGCTTCAGATTGGGGAAGAAAGGGTATTTAAGGGACATGTTGGTGCCAGACGAGGCTGTCAGTGTACTTAGCTCACTGTTAATGATTGATGTAGCGTTCTACTTTATAAATGTCAGAAGTTACACTTTTTTACTGTGAATTTCACAGCGACTCTAGTTGTAACTAGATATGAAGGGAAGAGCATCCATCATAATCAAAGTAAAATCTGTTCTATGGGGAGCTAAGATCATTTCTAATAATGGAAGGGTGCATTTGAAAATGATGAGATTGGATTTGAATAGGATACATCAGAAACTATTACTCCATTAATCCTTTGAAGAGAGTCATGAAAGAATGTGTGTGTTTACATGTATGAATAATTGATTTCTTCTTCATCCAAAAAATGAATTAACCATGTAAAATAATTAGTGTTTGCTTGTGTGAATGATAGATGGCCGTATCACAGAGTGTGGCGATGCTCTTTGCCACTGCAGTTGCTGGTAGGTTGTAGCTACCAGCACCTGCAACTGGACGCTATGTGGAAAAAGGTCAAAGCTACAAGGGAGCTTTGCCTGATGACTGCCCAGGCAGTCAGACCAAACAGTGATGTTGTTCCCAGACACTTAGGGTGAACATCACTGGCAAGTTGGTGTTGGAACCATTTCAAGGTGGAAAAAAACAGTTAAACACTTGAATAAAAAATGGGCAACACGTTTGATGTTTTATACATTTATGTAATTCTTAGCAGCTCCATGAAGATGTTTTGCATCTCTTTGCAGATGATGAAACTTGGCTCTGCTTAGTAGCCCCAGCATGACGTCTCTTCATTTGTTCTGAAAAGCGTTGTCCCTCATGGATGGGGTACAGCACTGCGGGAACCAGATGGTTTCTATTTGTCTTGTCTGTGTGATTGGGGGTTGAGCGCTGGGTAGTGCTGCTTCTGTGTGAACCAGCACTCTTCCTGTTCGGACAAGGCAGGGGATTATTTATGCTCCAACGTCAGCCCCCCTTTCTCTGCGCCTCCCCCTCGCAGAGCTCTCCTTAAAAAGACACACTCGGGACTCGCATGTCAAGCAGCGGGGCTGAAAAATCTGTGCCAATTTAAAGATATGAACAAGCTTGGATAAAACTCAGCAAGAAAGCGTCCCTTATATTTTAAGCATAAAGGACTATTCTGTTAGAAAAATGCATCTGATGTTGCTATGAAGTGTCACAAGTGTTTAAGGTTTTTTTCAGAGGTATTCTCCAACATGAAATACAATATGTTTATGTATTCTGAATGTTGTCATTTGCAGCTTTAATTCTCACTGTATTAAATGAGGAATTGTTGCAAGTGTTACGAATGAGTTTGTAAGTGCTATAACACTTGCCCAAAAAAATGACAAGTACTTACTGTGGATCCCTTTTAATTCTTTCTCTTTCTCCTGCAGCTGACTCTATACTGAAGCGGGAGAAGCGGTTGCGGACGAGGAGGGTGCATTTCGAGAATGTGACGGTGTACTACTTTGGCCGGCGGCAGGGCTTCACCAGCGTGCCCAGCCAGGGGGGCAGCACGCTGGGCATGTCCAACAGGCACAGCTGGGTCAGGCAGTACTCTCTGGGAGAATTTGCCCTGGAGCAGGAAAGGGTCCATAAAGATATGCTCAGAGACCACTTGAAGGAGGAGAAGCTCAACACAATCAAACTGAAGGTATGATCTTTAACTGTTGCCAAAATAAAAATCTTTATCACTCCAGTCACTTCCAGAGCTTTTTTGCATCATGGATTTTCTTTTGGAAAACAATCTTTAAAAAGTAAAGCTTGCCAAATCATTATTTTACTCTTGACTGAAATGCTTTATATTTAAAAAATAGTAATTATTTTAACTTTGGCCAACTCATTTATTTTTTTGCAATTCTTTGTAAACCCAAAATGGTAAGATTAATTAATTATTTTTTTTTTACATCTACACCTACAACATCTACAACCTTTTACGGTAATTAAAAAGATATTGATAAGAAATCACTGTTTTCATGTTCATTTTTATTGTCTTGTAATTACACTTTACTTACTTTGTAATTTTATCTCTATTTTAAAATGGCAAATCTCAGTATAAACAATTTTGTTGGTGTTGACAAAATGTAAAAAATATTACGTTTTTGAAAAAAACTGTTCATTTGAAAAGGAAAAAAACAAGATTTGAGAGGGTGACATTTCATGAATCAACAGCACAAGTAAATAAATCTTTTTTTAAAACTGCTTTCCAGAAAATTAAAGGTAAAATTAGAGGTAAGATTTGCTAAGATTAAATGCTTTAAATGTCTAAAGGATTCAATTAATCAAGTTTCTGATTATTTATTATGTAAGTTCTTAAAAAAATAACCAGGTTTTTGTGGTGCTGATTGGCCTTTGTGTGATAATAGAAGGAGACAACTGGGCAGAAAGAGAGGGGGAGATACTCAGAAAATGTCCATGGGTCGGAAGCAATCTGTAGAATTACAATATAGGAGATGAGGTCTACAAATAGCAAAACTGTTTTTAAAGTTCAGATTTTCTTTTTCCCAAGAAATTCCACAACATGAACTGGTGAGGTTTAGTTAAGCTGTCATGGAATGGCCTGCCAGCAAAGCGAATAGATCTGTTCCTCTCTTGTTTTCAGCTTACAAAGAACGGCACGGTGGAGTCTGAGGAGGCCAACACGCTAACAGCCGAGGACATCTCGGATGACGACATCGACCTCGACAACACAGAGGTAGACGAGTACTTCTTTCTGCAGCCTCTCACCACCAAAAAGCGCCGGGCCCTGCTCCGCTCCTCTGGGGTAAAGAAAATTGACGTGGAGGAGAAACACGAACTTCGGGCCATTCGCATATCCAGGGAGGACTGTGGCTGCGACTGCAGAGTCTTCTGTGACCCAGAGACCTGTGCCTGCAGCATAGCAGGGATCAAGTGTCAGGTAAATCCCACGAGACACATCATTTCATGCTCCATGTTCTTACATGTGAACACAAAAGCCTACATTTAGAGAGACTCGTGTGAGACTCAGGGGCTGATATATGTTCCATAAAAGGAAGCCGTACAGGGTTATGTTTCAACACGTATCGCACTGTGAATGTTGTGTTTTTCTTAGGTGGATCGTATGTCGTTTCCATGCGGCTGCACAAAAGAGGGTTGCAGCAATTCAGCCGGAAGAGTAGAGTTTAATCCCATCCGTGTTCGGACCCATTTCCTTCACACCATCATGAAGCTGGAGCTGGAGAAAAGCCGCGAGCAGCAGCAGACGTCCCCGGCTAACGGCTACCGCTGCGTGGCCAGCGACCTGGGGGGTGGGAACCCCTACGTCCAGCCACAGGACCGGCTGGAGTACGCCCTGTCCGACGCCGTCCCGCAGACCGCCAGCATGCACCTGCAGGCCGAAGAGGAGCTGGACGAGCCATTGGATGACGAAGACGAGGAGGAAGATGACGAGGACGAGGGAGAGGAGAATGAAGAAGATGAGGAGGAGGAGGAAGAGGAAGATAGCAGCAGTGTTTGCAGCGGGCTCTCTGACTCCAGCACCCAGAGCTTGGCTAACAGTGACTCCGAGGATGACGAGGGCGACGATGAGGATGCGGAGAAGACTGAGAACTTTGAGGGCGACATGGCGAGCCCCGCCATTTCTCATACTGAAGTGGTGCCCTTGTCCTCTGTGCTGTGTTACAACGATGGCTCTGTGACACATGATGACCACATAAATGGAAACACTTATTTAATGAACTCCTCCTCGGCTGAGTACTATCAGCTGGAGAGCTCCAGTGCCAGCTCTAACGGCCAAACCAACCAACCCAGCCAGCCCTACGGGGAAGCGCTAGCATTCCAGGATCCAATCAGCACAACCAACGGCGGCATGGTCCAGGGACCGTTCAGCGTGGCGGCGGAGCAATACACGGAATTTTCTAGTCAGGCCGAGGACCAGTACACAGCCAATCACCATTTTCCTCTGACTGGTGGTGCTCCCGCTGCCTCGTTGGCCCGCTACACGTCTGACCAGAAGGGTTCGTCTAAAGCGGCGTTAGTGGAACAGCCCGAGAACCAAAACCAGACACAGTTTCAGAACTACCTGAACAATAGCAGTCAGGGTTCCTACAGCGGTCACGGCTCATGCATGACGACATTACAGCCTCCACAGGAGTCAGGTGTTAATGGACATTCTGATCTTAGCTTACTAGCAAATAATACAAAGAACCTTCCTTTACCGGATCATTGCCCCGAGGTCACAGCCATTTGAAAGGCCTCGCCTTTAAAGTGTTCTTTCATCATAACACCTTCACTTGATTCTGATTAAGCGATATTGCAAGGTGATCATTGCCTTTTCCATTATCTGACCTTAAATTTAGGACCATGTGATTTTCATCTGTAACTATAAAGCCATAGATTTGTGTTGGAAAGATTTTGAAGGAACTTTTCATACTTGCAGGTTTCTCCATAACAGCATTTGTGCTTCAATGCAAAATTGAACAAAACAAAAAAAGAACATGCAAAACATCGAAACACACTATATATCATCATGGCGTGCAATGTTTCCTGTAATTTCAGATGTAAACTAGTTTCAGGCAGATAATATACTGCATATGGAATTTTTCTATGTCTGCTTTATGTGTCAAATGTTTAAGAAGGTTTACTGTCAGTTAATTTATTGTTGCCCAACTGTATGTGTAAACTTATATATTGTACATGTTTTGATAAAAAAAAAATTGCATGCATTTTTGGCTTCTCAGAGATATTTGGGGAAAATGCCATTGTTTTTATTTGTTTTATTTGAATTAGTGTTGATTTTACAATGTACATTTCTCTTTTCTTTTGTCCCATATTCCGATGCTTTTCTATAGTTCTGAAAAGCATGAAAAACCCTGAGAGACTTTGGAATACAATATAAACATACACTGAAATCAGTTCAAAGCCTTTTGCACTTATACTGTGAATGGAGGTCCAGTGGCATGCAGAAGTTTCCTTTGTGGCCCCTCCGTTGAGTTTTGGAATCATATACTTAGCATGTGTCACTGCAAATAAAGACTTGTTTTTCCAGGCAATGCCTGGAATTAAAACATTAAAAATGGCAATAGAAGAAGCTATATGATTCACTGCAAACACCAAAACTCTGTTTATCGGCAAATTACCGTAAATAGCTTGATTCAGTCAGAAATTATTGAAGCTAAACTTTACAGCCTATCAACTAAGTAGTTAATTTACTTGAAACTAATCAGCAAATGATTTGTTCTAATCAAGTGCAATAAATGTCAACAACTCATTCTCTGATGAAAATCTTCAATAAAGGGAACTTTGACTGTTTATGTACTTATTTCTACCTAAAGTCTTACTTTAGATATAGTATAAAACATTTTAAATAAACACTTACAGTATGGCTAAAACAAATGTTTAAACTTGACAATCAAAGCTTAGTTTCTAAACATGAGCCTACTGATTGGGGGGAAAAAAGTTCTGAAAAAAGTTCTGTAAGACATTGAAAAAATGTCTGAAAAGCCAGACAGGAAAACTAACACCGCCAACCAAAAAAAAGTGTAAATAGTCCTTTAAACATTTATACATACATTCACTGTCAAAAAGGAAACGACTGATCAACATCGGCAAATCATTTTTGTGAGTGGGCCTGTAATTCTCCAGTCTCTGCTCCTGCATGGAAACAGGCACTTGCCTCTCTGTCAAGCTTGCAAATACCTGTGACTTTGAGTTCAACACTACAGCTTTGATGGTTTTGTGCCTCTGCCGAGCATCTCGGACCTTCAGAGCCACTCTTCATGGTACAGAGTAAGTGTTCAAATCCTTTTCAGGCAATCAGCTACATCAACATAACGGTAGTGCTTCTTAATTGTGCCAAAGCAGATGATGTGTGAAGGCTTCATACAAACACAGTGCATCCTGTTAGAAGTTCTGTGTTTGGGTTTACTTTCCAGTATTTATTATGAATGATATATTGAAATGTGTATTTATTGTGGTTCACTAAAAAGTCTGTATTGAGTAAATTGCTTCGCTATCTAAAAATTGAATTTGTTACATGCGCGTTGTGAGTCGTAAAGCTTCATGTGCTTGATTTATTTAATTCTATTATGTTTAGTGAAATGCAAAAGTTTTGCACAAACTGTTTTTTTCCAATGTGTTTGGTTTCTGACTGTAAATAAAGCCTCGATAGTTTGTTGTTTCGTTTAAACATGATTTTCCAATAAACAATTAAAAATGATCGGGTGATGTTTGTCAGACATTAAGTAACTCACTGTATGCAGTCTGCTACAGTAATACTGCAATGTCAGTTTGCACTGGCCTGTGGTCTGAGGCGCCCTCTGCAGACCACAGGGGAGAATCAGAGTGGCTACTAATTTTGCTCCTCCAAAAGCATTGAGCTCAAAATAACATCTTTGCACAATGGCACTCTGAAAATACAAGGCAAGGCAAGACAAATATATTTGTATAGCACATTTTGTGTACAAGACAATTCAATTGTAAATTGCTTTATAAATAATTTTAAAACAGAAAAGCCTAGAAGGAAAATGAACCAACAAAATAAATTAGATAAAAAGTGAAGGGTGCAGATAAAATAGATTCAATTTCAATATACACATTTGGATTGAAACATTGACAGAGTTGGGGCCCATCTCACCTCTTCAGGAAGACTGTTCCAGATTTTAGGAGCATGGAACAGAAATAAAGCCTGACCTTGTATAGTTCTGACTCCGGGCACCATAAGGAGACCAGACCCTGAGGTTCTCAGAGTCCGAGCTGGTTCATATGGATCTGACATGTCAGAAATGTGTTTCGGCGCCTGACCATGAAGAGACTTGTTCACAAGCAGTGTTGTTTTAAAGTCTATTCTCTGAGTGACAGGAAGCCAGTGGAGAGACCTGAGCACTGGACTGATGTGGTCATATTTCCTGGTTCTGGTCAGAACTCTAGCAGCAGCAATCTGGACGTTCTGCAGCTGTTTTAGAGCTCGTTTAGAGAGCCCAGTGAGCAGGCCGTTACAGTAGTCTAACCTGCTAGAGACAAACGCATGGATTAGTCTTTCAGGTCTGGTTTAGACACTATTCCTCTGATTCTGGCAATGTTTTTAAGATGGTGAAAGGCTACTGATGTATCTTCAAACCTGATCATTTCCAAAATCTGTGTCCCTGTGTTGTCATTAATGAGTCTGCCCCAAACAACTGCAGACCCAACTGCTGGTTTGGGTGCAACAGACAGGTCAAAGGATACACAAAAATGATCAGACAAAACAACATCAACAGCATCCACATTTGAAATAACAACACCCTTTGAAATGAGCACATCTAGAGTGCCCTCTGTTGTGAGTGGGCTCGCTCACATGCTGAGGTAGACCAAACATCTCAAGGACAGCCGGGAGTTCTTTACAGTGCTGATCTTGGGCTGCATCCACATGCACATTTAGATCTCCTCTTATGACCAGGCAGTCAAAGTTAGTGCACACAACTGAAAGTAATTCAGTGAAATAATTCATAAAATAGTTCCGTAGGGATATATAGATGGTAATATAAAGAATGGAAGATTGTTTATCTCCATCTTGAATGACACATTCTCAAATGATGAAAAAAACCCAAATGATAGTTTGTGTGTGAGTAAATTGTCCCAAAATTTGGCACAAACCCCCCCACCCCTCTGGTTTTGATGTGTTTCCGATACAAAATTTAAGTGAGGTGGACTAGCCTCAATCAGGACCTAATCAGCTGTGGTTTTGTCCACCCATGTCTCAGTTAAAAACATAAAGTCAAGATTTTGAGAGGAAATAAAGTCATTGATTTAAAAGGTTTTCCCTGCTAAAGACCTGACATTTTGTAAAGCTAGCTTCAGTGTGTCAGTATTATGGGCGGGCTGTGACTGACGTGTAATGACCAATAAGTTTGATACATGTACAGAATGTTTTGGTCTCTGAAGGCAAACTAATGTTTTTCGTTTACGTATCAAACCAGAGATTAAGGAAGCTACTTCCATATCGAGCCCCAGCTTATCCTGGCCACGGGTACATGTAGTACTGTTGCCTGGACCCGGTACATAACACCACACTGATACCTTATCGGGCTCCAACAACTGTTTCATATGATCCAGGTACTGCAGGGCTTCTTGTACTGTTGCTATTGGAGAACCCTGTTCTCCAAGAGCTCTGTGCTCCTTTGGTAATTGAGGGCTGAGATAACCTTTGGAGTTTTTGGTGGGGGAGGTGGAGCAAGACGACGTCGTGGGAGAAATGTGTGTGCAGGAAGATTTGTGGGTGCAGGAACGGGACTGGTGCTTTGGGCCGTCTTGGTGGCAACAGTGACCAGCTCCTTCATGGGAAGTCCATTAGAGGAGGACATGGAGATGGTCACCTCGATGAAGGGGGGTCCTCATTCATCAGAGTGCTCCAGGATGACGTCCTCTGGGGGGGGCTGGGGTGTCTCAATCTGAGGGTTACGGCCGGGCTGTACCATATCCTTATCCTCTTGTTTATGCACCATTCCGTCCTTGTCCAACAGAGCATATTGTGCCCAACACAGAAAAGATTAACTGCAAACAGCCTTACTCCAGATCTATTTAGGCAAATGCCATCCGCCTTAAAAGATTGTTTGTGGTCCCAGAAGAAACTGAAATTGTCAATAAAACTAAAGGCGTATGTGATACACACACCAGACAGCCATTTGTTCAGGCTTAACAGCCTGCTGAATCTCTCACCTCCTGTGATTGGTGGAAGAGGGCTACTAATGAACACTTCAGCTTCCACACCGTTTACTGTATTTAACAGCTTCATGAAGTCCTGTTTCAGCAACTCAGGCCGCTGTTTAACGATGCCGTTCACGATTCCACGATACCAGGTGTAGATATGCCGCCAAAATCTGCACAATGTTGTCTCTCAAGCCTGATACCACGTCCTTTGGAAAGCACAGTATTTTATGCACGTTTCCCACACACACCTTACATCCTTCACATCAGCGTCACCCACAATCAGAGTCTCAGGTCCGGGACTTTCACTGTTTGCTGTTGTTTCTCCGGTTTACCGTGCTGCATGAAGAGACTTTATGCGGGTCATCAGATGGAGAGCCAGATTTCTGTATCTGTGCAAATCTGATCTGAAGTGGAGTGTTACTTAGAGGAGGAGAAGGCTTCTTTCTTGGTTTTCCACTGACCACTGTCCACGTCTGTGTCCTGCTAACAACCGGTGTAGATGCAGACTTTACTCTCCTTGGTAGTGCTGGCCAGCCGGTCGCATCACTGATATCACCAGCCTGGGCTGGTTCTATCTCCTCCCCTGTGAGATGTTTTATTTTTCGGCTTTGCACCCAGCACATTCCAAGCATAACTTTAGGATTTGTTACTCAAAGCAACATCCTCCCATTTCCGATCAGTCTTGCTAGTACTGATTAGCTGTTGATTATTTTTACCTAGAGGTAAAGTTGTATCATATCCGCATAATCTGTTTACTTCCACATTTACCTCTAGTTGTTGGATTTAGGTTTACAGCATGTTGATTTTCCAGAGGAGATTAAAGTAGGGGAAAGTTAAAGAAAATGTTAAAATGTATATCAAATACTTTAGGGGGGAAATTAGAATGATTTGGAAGCATTTAAAAGAAAGTAAAAAGGCAAAGCGACAGGAGCAAACAAGTTACTACAAGGCAGTGTCTATTTGAAAAAGGCAAAACACATTGAACCTGATTATTAACCAGTCAAACTATATTTCACAGCCATTTAAACACCAGTGCCTGCACCAGACAAAAGTTTGTGGACTCGCTCTTCGATGAGTTTTCAGGCTATGGATGCACACACAAAGTCCATTGGGTGCAATATTTGTTTAACTAAAAGTTCACTTTTAAAAACACCAAAGCGTAACCCTTTAAATAATACTTAAATATGCTGACCCCTGCTAATAAATGTTAAAGAAGGAATTATCTTAAACATTACTCATGGCGCTTGCCTGCTTCTGTTTACAAAGAATTCTGTTGTGTTAAGACCCCACTCACTTTCCCTAATTCACTGACCCAAAGAGGCATTAAATCAACCTTCCTTCTTATTTAACCTTCTGATTACACTGATTTTATGATTAGAAATAGATTACTTGAAGAATTAACTGAGGTTTATGGACTGTAGCAGCCAAAACTAGGTTTCTCTTGAAATTAGTTAAAACCTACCATACCGCCACCAAAACTCCAATCAGTTTCTCATCAAGAAATGAAAACATTATATCCAAGGGATAGGGCCACCCACAACAGGAGGTCTTCCATTTAAAAAAAATGTGCAAAGGCACGATGCACATCATTCTTGAGACATTCTTGACGGAAGTTTTCACTGTCCGTCTCTTTGGTGCATCACATTGGGGATTTTAGTTTCACCAGCAGAAACCTGTTGCTTGAAGTCTCTGTTCTCATTGGGCTTTAAACACCAAATATAATGCATATTTTCGTCGAGAAACCTTGGCGGAATGAATTCATCGTTGTACCCAAAAAAGAGCCTAGTCGGCGTAGTGCAACTTCCCTGTGTGAAGAATCGGAGGCCTCCTTGTAGCACTAGCATGTTACGGTTTCCTCAAGAGTTGAGATTTCCCAGCAGCAGCAGTTGACTTCTTCCATATATAAAAATAAATTAAAAACTCAATACAATCATTACTCTATAAAAAAAATAAAAAAAACAGTATACATAAAAGAATACTGGAGTCCAAAGTGATCTCAAACGAAGGACCAGTGCTGGTATCTATCTGAGGGGCTGCAGGGGGCCAGAGAGGGATGCTCGTGACGAGCAGTGAGGCACATGTTCCATCCTGGTAAGTAGATCAACTGGTTCTACATAAACAGAGGATAAAAGCGTTATTCTCCCAAAAAACAGAAAGCGATAACTCAGGCATCTGGAACCACAATGCGAGGATAGGCAGAAAATGAAACTCACATCTCTCAGCTCCCATTTTTGTTCTGTTCCTACAAATGTGTTCATGCCTTTGTACTGGCAGTCATCCAGCTTCACGGCTCCCTTTGCCCCGTGCAAACACAGCTCCTTCTGAATGTTGTGCCTAATCTCGTGACGTGTGGAGTATTCAAAATACTAGAGCAGAGGAAATATTGAAAACCTAATCAGTGTGTCTGAGTGTGAACCGTCAAGAGAAGATAGAAGGTACGTTTTCTCACTGACCTGGTTTCCTCCTAGTCCATGACATGGGTACATAATGAGCTCTTTCCCACCCTCATTGTTCTCTCCAGCATCCAGACATGAGTCTTTGCCCACATTTTTCACCTAAAGAAAAAGAGAAGGAAAAGGAGAGCAGTGAGAGGAAACAAAATGAAAAACTAACATCCAGCACAAGCTGTTCAAACAACTTCAGCCTCTGAAGTGCTTTTGTGGTGTTAAATTGGAACTGCTCTGTACCCTCTGGAGATTCTAAGTGGAAACCCACAGTGGCTAGACGGAGTCGTGGGGTTTGGAAAGAGAGGAGAGTTGGTGATGGGGTCTATGATCTTACCGAGCCAAAGCGGAGTGGGTTGAGATCAGGCATGAAGACTTCTGGATAGACGTTCTTCAAATACCAAGAAAAGCCTTTGCATTGCAGCCGTTCTCTGAGGTCCGTACGTTTGGATATATCTCCAAAATTTCCCTGTTGTGAGAAGGAATAGCAAGAAAGTGAGGGAAATAAATGCATTAATCATGAAGTGGAAAGAATTCTAAAAGATCTTCTGGACTTTAAAAAAAGATTATCTACTAAGACTGATAACTAGTGTCATTTTCATGTCAAATATTATATTTAACACGTGTGCAATTTCAATCTAATCAAAATGGATTTTTTTTAAAACATTTGTAAACAGCTATACAATTTAAAGACAAAAGAACAGAGGCTGCAAATACCACAAACTAATACAAATGGAATACTAACAGCCAGAATATCTGGGGACACATCTGACCACTTATTACTCTGATCATGAAAGTACATCTGGGTATAACATGGAAAAAGCCCAAAAGAGGGGGCCTTTCAGAGGTAGAGTCCAAAGATTATGTGGGGGTGAACTGACAGGCTTTATATTCTGCCTTCAGGACTTTTTTTTTTAATAGGAAAACCTTTCTTATTTCAGCAGAGACACTGATAATCCAAACTGACCTTTATGAAACCAGTAAGATTAAATGTGACAATTCTGTAGATTACAAATGAAGGCAATCAACATCTAACTGAAGCTTTTGAATATTTCAGTCTGAATCTAACTGATATAGTCCTTATCTGAATTGTTTTGGATTTGATTGCTTTGACAATCAGTGATAGTTGACATTTCTGAGGTCGAGGCCCTGACGCCCGGTAGGTTTAATTAACTATGGAAAAGTATCTGACCACTGTTCCATTCAGACTGAAGAGTAACAGCACATTTTTAAAAGATCTGCAGAAACCTCATCCTATTAAATAATGAGACGGCTTAATTACTCTAATGAGAGGAGCTGTGCTCACACTAGAGCCTGCCCATAGCCCTGACAGCAGATCCTCTGAAGCCGTGGACGCCGGTGTTTCTGTTTGAAGTCAGCGGGACAGGGCTGGCCTCTTCTGTGAGGCAAAGCCCTCAGGGAAATGTTTATGGCCCTTATGAGACCACATGTTGGCAAACACTGAGAAGCTGTCATTTAGGAGAGCCGACTCCCTTCAGGGCTTTTCTTTCTTGGTTAACTGCTTCCCTCCTCTAATAGCTGATCTTTGGCCTCCCTCATTTTGAAGAATGAGTTTAATTTTTTCCACATCGAGTTCATGTATAGAGAATTGTAACAGTGAATTATTCTCCTGGAGAGAGAATGGCTTCCCCTGCAAAGCGTGTTAAGCAACTCATAATCAGAGTTAATGCTTCTTGTAAGCATTTCTGGAACAGGGGCTGGATTTGCTCAAACTTGCCTTGAGAGGGAGATAATAATGAGTGGCCGACACATATTTACAACCGTGAAGGGTGGAATTGAAAGAAAAAGCCAGAGAGCAATTTGATACTCTTTCAAAACAAGGGAAGCCAATTAACAGAGTCTCCTACAGTAGGTGTGTTCCATGAAAAAAAAAAACAGCACTTACATCTTTTGCAATTTGTGCCGCTTGCTGGTTCCGACGGTAGAAGATCTCCTTGTACTGATCCATCCAGACCTCGGCCAGCCGTACCTGGTTGCGAGCAATCACTTGCGTCCCCTTGGGGAAGGTGTGCGGGCTTTTGGTGCGGAAAACGTGACCGACAATGGAGCAAGGGATGATCTCCAGCTGGCCACCGCACTGCCACACCTGCAGATGAATGGGAGCCAGCAGAAACAGATGCACAGTGACACACCCAGGCAGCCGATGCTGAAAGGCTGAGTGATAAATATTAGCACTGCTGCCCAGAGGGACAGCTTACTGAGGTCTTACCCTAAATGACATTTCAATATTCTCACCACCCCAGATTTCCATTTCTTCATCGTAGCTTCCGATGCGATAGAAATAATCTTTGGAGATGGAGAAGAGTCCACCGGCAAATGTTGGAGTCCTTTAAAAAGACGCAAATCAAGAACAGTTTTAAAAAAACCACAGAGAGGATATCCCAAACTGATGTGCGGGTTTTGCTTACTTGATCGGATACGTTTCATCTTTCCTCCTACGTTTTTCGTGATCTGGCAGACTCTCCCAGCCAAAAGCCAGACCCCAGTCAAAGTTGCCTCGGTTGTGGTTCTGGCCATACGGGGACGGTTTCATGAACTCAAAGGTATTGAGATCTATGGTGGTGATATCTGGACTCACGACTGCGGTGTAGTTCTCAGCTATCCTCGCCAGTAGAGGCTCCAGCCACCCCTTAAAGCACTCACCTGTTAATACATGCACACAAAACACTCCGTCACAGCTCCTCTCTTAATAATGACTACCTCCATTGTGCCTCGGCTTTTAACCAGAGCAAACACTGCTCTGCAGATCTCTGGGTGTGTAAGACAGGGCGTGTAGAACAGTCTAAATATGTGTACAATGTCATGGGTGTTGACTAACAATGGGCATCGAGAAAGGTTAGCGTGTCACCGGTGGCCACAGAGGCACCCAGCAGCCGGGCAGTTATGAGTCCTTTCCTTTCCTGCTGGCGGACCACTCGCACAATGTCCAGCTGCTTCAGATACTCGTCCAGCTCGTCTTTTAATACATCTGAAAACATGGGATATCAGACAGAGTTAGGAGAAAAAAGCAAGCCATATTTTGGGGGAAAAACTCTACGAATATGTTATGACTATGTACTCCTCTCTAAACACTAGGCTTTAAGTGTAAGCTGGCCTCTGACCTTTGACCTCTGCCGCACTTTGTGTCCCTTTAACATCTGACCCATCTGCAGTCAGTCACTACTTTCTTAACCAAGCCACCTCTTTGGTGTATGTGACAGTGTTCCCTTATTACCACCTTCATAGATTTAATTTTGATTTATGCCACATTAAATCAAACTAAAAGGTTCAGAGTTCGGTCTTAACAGCCTCCCCGTCGGGTTTTTACCATCCACGCTGGCGTCATCTACCAGGATGATCTCCTTGAGGAGAATGGCAGGTGAGGTGTGGAGGACACTGTATACTGTTCTCAGCAGGGTGCTCCAGGCCTCGTTGTGAAACACAATTATCACGCTGGTGGTCGGCAAGGGGGGGCATCGCTTGAAGGTTCGCTCAATACATCTACATTGAGAAGGACAAAGAACACAAAGATCTGACTATCCTGAACGCTTCTTGAGCAGGACAATAGACCGGTTATTACATCTGCTGGCCCTCCCCTGTGGGGAGTCCATTTCAGCTGGGATGCAGCCTGTGTGGCAACCTTTGAAATGCCTGCCCTGCTGCAATAGGACGTCTTGTCTGCATATACTCTTAACAAAATGAAACGTTCCTGGTACTTAGGTGTAACAAATACGCCTGCCTTTGAATTCAGCTGACAAGCTTGGCTGGCATGCTGAAACAAAATCAGTCAGAGAAAATTTTTCTTTAGGTTTGTACATAAGATTTTCTTCAAATTCAAAAAGCAAATGTGAGGAATTTGTTTGGGTTAGACAGTTATGTCAAATCACTTGATCTAAAAAGAGGAATCTTTACTTTTTTGTTAACCTAGAACATTAAGACATACTTATTATCTTTCCCCCATTTTTAAAAAACACCATCTAGGAGGAATGTGTTTCCCTGTAAAAGCTCTTGAAAGTATAAAGCCTGCACATTCTGACATACTCAGGTGGTCTTGTGTCCGCGCCCAGGTCTCTGCTTAATGAGATGCGGTCACTTGCATACAGGTTAAAGCAGTGTTTCTCTTCACCCCTCTCCTTCTCCTTTTGCTCTTCGGGGCTCAGCGAGTTTGTGAGGAAAGGCTTCCCCGCAGCTCCCGGAGAGAGGGGGTTCTGAGGCGGCCTGTCCAGAGCTGGCCTGAGCTCAGCGGCCGTGTAGTGACCCGGCGGGCAGGAGGCATCGCCCGGTGAGCCCTGTAGCCGTATGGGGGCTTTGATCTGCATTTTTGGCATCGCATCCCTGAAGTTATTGACAGCTCCCATCACCATCCCCAGCATGGCGTCCCGCTTCACTGCCATCTCCTTTAGCCACGGTTCCTCCTGTTGGCTTTCAGTGCCCACCTCCCGTTGTATCAAGAACACGAATGTGACAAAGACGAGGGCCACTGCGGCCAGCTTAAGGGGGTGCAGGCGCCTCCGGAGGACTCTGCGAAGAGCTGTCATCCTACTGTAGTGGAGAGCAAGCAGGCTTTGGACTGAAATTCAGCTGTAATGAGTAAATATAGTCAAAGGGGTTATAATGATTTGCAGGCAGCATTCATGTTATTTCAATGAAACTGAGGTTTCTTTAAAAAAAAAAAGGTAATTCATCACACATGTTGATTCATCCTGTTCTTCATCACACCGGTTTCATTGTGTGGTTTCAGCATAACCGGTTTAAAAAACATTGACACATCACTGAATTGAAATAAGCATCGCGGGATCAGGATTATTCCAAAGTAAATAAAAACGTACCATGAGTCGCTGATCTACCGGTTAAGGTTAGAAGTCCTTAGAACTGCTCTCAAATCCAAAGAAAGACATCCTGATTTAATCTTTGATTTTCTTTCTGTGGCTTCGGTTCCAGTCAAACTCCACAAGGCGACAAAAAGATTTGGTCCGTGCTCTGACTTCAGCAAACTTCCGTGTCGTTGGATCCAGGTGTGTTCCTCTCAGGTAGAGGGCGGAGACGCGCCGGTGCGCTTGCGCAGATAAGGTTCTCTCATGTCAGAACGCTAAAAAATAAAATCCAGACCTGGCACCCAAATAAGAAAGTAAAGCTCACGGCAGGCACCGGTAATGGACCACCAGCTGTTCCAAAGTCAGCCAGATCGAGTCCCGGGTCTGAAGTCAGACGTGTGTTGCGACGTTAAACTCTTGACAAACACGAGCTGTTTCTCATACTTCGTCTTGGGAAATATTGGGGACTTCTCTTTTCGCTCAGAGTTGCTCGGAGTCAGTAATGGGATTTGTTCAACTGGTCATTCACTGGAACAGTTGCCGGGTTACAAATAACGCAAGAAGGCGAAATATCTGACCGCATCCAATCAGGTCTCCGAGAGACACCTCCTCATGACCACAGGGCTGAGGCTTAATGGACGTTTACTATTAAACCCTAAACACATGGTCCGACTCTCCAGTCCTTTCATCGCCGAGGAAAGTAATGAATCTGAGACTTACAGAGAGAAGTGGTGAATGGAGACACTCACCAGCGCTCTTTTTTCCCCGTAATGTCCCACGGATGTTGTTGACAAAGTGAAAACGTGGATTTCCCCGCAGGAAAGCTGGTGTGATGCTCTTTTTGAAGTCTGTCTGTCTCCGACTCGCACACTGAGACCATCTGTAAGGGACCATGTCCCCCACCGCTTCCGACCCACGGAAGGCTCCAGTTTATTATGTCCATTAAAGTGCTCCCTGTGTCCAACATGTCATTCTAATCACGTCTGTAACTTGTCTATGTGGATATATTCACTTATTAAGTAAACATTCTTATTCTTGTATAAATTAATATTTATACTTTCATGTGAAAGAAGTCAGACCAAGAAATGCAATTTTTTTCTTTTTTAGAAGACTTTATTAAAGGTAAACAAAGCACTAATACATAAAAAATACATATCAAATGCATTAAAAAGCTACAGGAAATCATAATTAGGGACTATAAGAGTGCATCATCATCATCATTTCACCATAAAAATGTCAATAGATTATAGAAAAAAGATTTTGAATAAAGGTGAAATATTCTTAAGACTGCATTTCTGCAAGGTTCCCTCATTTTATGCTCCAAAAACATTTTTATAGCTGTTTTATGTCTTGCACATGCCTGAATGTCTCTGCTCTGTGTTTTCTCTCTGGACTGCCAGCAACCAGCTTAGAATAGACTCAGAAAAATGTACATAGAAATGTGCTTGAGGTTCTTCTCAAATCCCAAATCTTCCAAAAGACAAATAACTGTTCATTTTCAACCTGACAGTAAAATCAAAACAATAAGGATAGATTTACTTTAGAACTAATTATAATATACAAATGTTTATTTTATGTCTGTTTTTCTCCCCTTCTCTCTTCCATATACACACTCATTAAAACCCAACACTATGATCTTAAAGCAGCACGAGCCTTGTCCAGGATTTCCTTTCTCATTTTTGGGTAATTTGGATGAGCAGCAAGAACCTGAGGACGGAAATGAATTATTTATAAATCATATAAAATCTGATTCAATGGAAGCATCCATTATTAAAAAAATCTCACCTTATGGCAAACATCAATCGCATCAACGTGCCTTTTTGCTTTTAAATAGTTGAAAGCCAGCTTATATCCTAAAGGAAAAGTAGACATTAGATTTTTCATGTGTTTTGTCTTGATCCATTTATAAATAGAACTTGACATCTGATTTTGCTTGACATACCAATAGTTGGGTTTGTGCGATTTCCATATTTCCACGCCAGTTCATAGTTGAGTGCAGCATCACGGAACGCCTGCTCTTTTTCCATTATGTAGCCCTGATATTCATAAGCTTTGCAGCAGGACTGGGGAAAGGGTACAGTTAAACACTGAAATTACAATTGGTTTCTGAATTTGAAGGAAACTAAATTTGTCAAATAGAGAATAAGATGTGTGTGACAGGATTTTCAGGCCGACCTTGTTATGATTGAGGCATCGCTTTAGAAGGTCCCCAGCCATGTCGAACTTCCCCGATTGGATGTATATGTCTGCCAGGAGCAGCCAGCTCTTCTCAAACTCATCAGCATCAGCAATGTTCCAGTTCATCTTAGCTATGCGTTTGAGCTGGTTCCTGGCTCGAGGGGTCTGCTTTAGCATCATGTAAGCGGTTGCCATGGCCAGCAGTGCTGGAACATGGTCTTTCTGGATTGAACAAAAAGCTTCTGGTGAAACTGACATGACTCTGACAACATAACAAAAGATTTATGTGGCTAAATCTCTGCTATACAAGTGGTCACGCACACTGATATTAACTCTGATACAGATGAACCTCTAACCAAATGGCGCTCACTGACATGAAGAAGGGGTCTGAGATAATGTACAGCTCTTGGTGAGGTTCTATTTACACAAGAGGGAGTGCTGTAACTCAGGAGCACCATCTGGACTCTGCTTACCTCATTGTTTGCAACCTCTGTGAAAACAGCGAGGGCTTTCTCTATACTAGCCTTCTGTTTAGTTGCAAGCAGGCAGTAGTGCTCCAGGATGCGGAGCTGTACGTGTCCGCCTGGCGTCTGAGGCTTTATCTCTTTGAGCAGCTTTTCTGCTGTTCTCACAGCAAGCTGCTCGGACTCCTGCTTCTCTGTGGAGTTGCTGAGGGGAGAGGCAAAGTCAATGCATGTTTATGTTAAAGGGGAGTTTCTAAGGAAAGGAATATTTTCTGTATGTCGTTTCCAATGTGCCCGCTTCTCACAAAAAAGGCAACTCACCCGATTTCACCCTCTAAATTCTCAAACACCTCTCCGCCGATTGTGTCATTGTCAGGATTAAGGTAGATTTCAATCATGTTATACACAGCGTTTTGGCCCCAGTCATTATCTTTCCGAGCCTTATTGAAGTGTCGAAGAGCGTCATTTGGCTCTCCTGTGTACCTAAGCAGAGAACAGGCATTTTGTCGAAATGCTTAAATGAACAGAAGTGCCTAAAATATTGGCTAGATGTTTATCCACTTACCAAAGATAAAGTCCTTTGCAGTAGTTAAACCCAGGGTCAAATTTAGTCCTGGAAGAATGTTTCTCAGCCATATCCAGAAACCTGGAGACTTCTTCCAGTTTCCCAGCCCTCCTCAACAGGTCGATAAGGCGTGACAGGGTTGGGTAGTTATCTGAAAACACCCAGCTTCATGAGAATTTCTAATCATCAATTAGTGTTTTAATGAAACATTAAAATAAAAGGTACTGCACCTGGTTTGCGCTCAAGCAGTTGTTGAAAATGAAACACTGCCTGTTCATAGTCCTGCTTCCTGAACATAATGTCTGCCATCATCTACGGACCAACAAATACAATAAACAGGCCTCTCATATTAGTTTAAATAAGGGCTAATGACAATTGCAGTGACAGAAAAATGGAACAAACCAGAGTTGCGTCTTCATTAAACTGGTCATTCTTCAAAATGACACTGCACTGCTCCTGGCATGCATCGCCCTCGTCCAGACTGAGATACAATCGTGCCAACTCCAGCATCACCTAAGAACAAGGGGGTGCATTCATCTGAATAAAATCATCTCACAAGGTTTTCTGTGCTATAATTTTTAGCAGATGAATGTGTCTTCTTCTAATATCGGAACCATAAACAAATGAGATCACATGTCATTTAAAGGAATAACGAGCAGTGGACTGAAACAGAAGCCAGGGCTTGTCTAGCACAGCTGCGGTGAGTACATACAACGGTTTTGATTCAGCTTCACTGACCTTGCGATCTGTCTCACAATACACAAGAGCTTCTTTGTAGAATTTGACTGCTCTCTCATAGCCCCTCTGACTTGCATAGTGTTTGGCGATCTCGGCACAGATCTCAGCAGCAAGTTGTTTCTGTGTGGGGACAGCGTCAGGCTGCTCCAACTGCACGCGCTTCAACACCTTGGCCTGCACATCGCGGGCCTACGAGCACCAAATACACAACGCCTTAACACAGTGTAGATAAACTGACTAAAAATAGGAAGTTTAAATAACCCTGTCGGCTTTTATTGGAGATCAATACATGGGGAAAGAAACCTGACAGAAATCTTTCATAGTAAATTTGCTGCAGAAAACCACATACTCTTTGTAGAGAAAGTAAAGCTTCCTCATTTTTTTCAACTTTGTTTTGGACCTTTGCCAACAGGACCAGATAACGGCAGTCGTCTGACAGCGCGGGTAGCTCATTCACTGGGTTTAAAACAGAAACGAGAGAAGTTAAAAGCAAAGCAGCACAATCAACCAATATAGCTTCAAGAAACAATAGGGGGTGCATGAGGTTCAGGAGGTCACAGTAACTATGACAACGAGATCATGTTTAAGATCATGTAACAGCTGTTGGCAGTGTTAGAAAAAAACATGAAGATGAGCCACTGTGAGTTTACATGTTGCAGCACCCCCCTGTGGACAAATGCCTCCTTACCACCCCAAAAACTATCAATACTCATAAAAAACATAGAATTAGGGTTGTGGATTTTGGGTACAAGTTCAAGAGGAGCAGCATCACTTGCAAACATCAAAGCCCACTTTTGAGACATGTCTCTTAAACTGAAGCACTTCTTGTGGAGTCATGGCTGTGCAGGAAGCATGCACAGTGCGTGACACATCAGGATGTCTAAAGTACCTGGTTCATGAGCCAGAGCGTCATGCAGGACTTTCTCACAGCGCTCGTATTGCTTCATCTTCATCAAAAGTTCAGCCAGGTCATAGCGCAGGAAGCTCTGCTGCTCAGTCTTCAGGGCTGCGTCATAGTAATTTATGGCCTGTACGGTAATGGAAGTCTGGCGTCAGCACAGGCTTGTTTTTGTGCGTTTAATCTTCGGAAGAGTGTAAACACAAACCTTGACGTAGTTATGAGTCTTAACGAGGGCTTTCCCAATCTTACTGGCTAAAGTGCCATCTTTGGGGTTGCTCGTGAGGGCATGCTCGTAAACCTCGATGGCTTTTTCAGGCTGTATATAAACACATGTAATGATAAGTGCTGTCACAATTTGCTGCTGGTTTCAGGTATGTGTAAATATTATAAAAAGCAGCAAAATGACGTGAACAACATGAGGGTTGCAGTATACTTTTGGGGATGACTTAAATGAGGTTTTCTTACAGACTGTCGCAACTAAACTATGTGTCAACATCACAAGGCTTAGCTTGCCACCGATAAACTCCATGTCATCTTCTTGAAATTAGACTTCAGAGCTCTTATGTCTATAACAGTCTGTGGCTGTGGGTGCATTATGTTTCTGTCCACTGTACAAAATGTTTGACAAACATTATTGGGACTTTTTTTCTGTTTTTCCTCATGAATCTGTCAGTTAGAATTATATAGTGTGTGTTCACAGCTTAGAAATGACTTCCTGCTTCCTGCTTGCTCTCTTGTAATAAGGACCGATGGATGTAATGCAGAACTAAGGACTTTCTGTGCCTCCACAGACCCCTCGAGAAAATAAAAGCTTCTTTCATTTAAACCTTGATTATTAATTACCGTCATCTAATGAAAGCATGCCAGCTCTGTGAGGACTGGCATCCCATTTATCAACTTTAAATCTGGGGACTGAGGACAATCATTCTGCATGTAAGGTGTGGGTTTGGAAAGTCAACTTTCATTTAAAAAAATAGTCCTTGTTGCATGATGAATTTTGAATATAAATTAAATCTAAATAAGAGAGACTTGAATTTTCTGGTGATGTTGTGATCTTTAAGGCTGATTAAATTCTAACCACGTCATATACAGTTGGGAGGTTATATTTCAAACTACTGGCATTAACAATGTAATAATCTAACACGATTTTTTAACAATTTTTTAAACTTAGAAAAATAACAAGTTCATTAGAAGGAGCAGAAATAGTTAACATGTTATAACTGGATTAGGAAGCGCACATTTGTATTAGCGCCGTGTATATAATTTTGAGCTGACCTTTTCTTTCATAACATACATAACTGCTTAGAAATGAAGAGATAAAAAAAAGTAATTCAACAATAAATCAAATGTTACAGAGAGCAAAAATAATACTAAACAATCACAGATTTTACTCACCTCCTGAATGTTCATGTAAGCATCCCCAAGTAAGAGATACGTGTGGGGGCTGGGGAGCTTCTCAACCATTTCTCTGAGGAATAGACAGGTGTATCAGATTACAAAAGATGTACTTCATTATTGTACATGCATCTTGTGGTGAATCCAAAGTACCATTATGAAGTATACTTATTACCACTGCAACTAGAATGAATGGCTTGAATGTACCTTCACCTTCTTACCTACTGGACATAACCATTTAATATATGTGGGGAACAATAGTATGCACATTCAGGTATTGACTTCGAAACATCTAATACAGTCATCTTAGATTCAGGTTCAGATGCCATGCTTACCTGTAACAGCTTGCATAAAGTCGCTTTTCTCTTCTGTGCTTCAGATATATGTCAGCCATTTTCTCTTTTGCTTGGATGTAATAGGGTTGTTCAGGAGTAATGTTCCTCAGCATACTCAGTGCCAGCTCTGTGTCACCACGCAACAGGGCCAGATCTGCATTAGCAATAGTGACCCGAAGCTCCTCAGAAGTTCCGGAAAACTCATTGATGGCATCCTGCATCACCTTTGCTGCTTCATGCTGAAAGCAGAAATCCATCCATCAGTTTCAAAGTCAGAGTTTTATATTTATATGAACCCAAATGAAACATAGGAACACTGTCAAAAGAATATTCTACCTGTTTTCCGCTAAGCCAGAGAGCCTCAGCTAACTCCAAGAAGACAGATACGCAGTCAGCAGAGCTAAGTTCTGTCTTCTTGTGCTTTGACTTGGATGATGATCCAGCTCTGCGAATACCTGGAAGACTCAGAGCCATCTGCAATGTTTGAACAGCCTCTGCAAGGTCGCCCATTTTCTTCATAGCCTGAGCCTTAATCAGATGGTACAAAGGATGGTCTCGAATCTGGAACGGACATTAAGTCATGAGCCCTCTGGCAAAGTGTATGATATTGCCCAACACAGCTGAGATAATCAGTAGTAAGCAAACAAATGCACTGATTCGCATTCAGAGACAGTAAGTGACATACTGTAATATGAGAAATGGGACAGAGGTCAAAGTTTGGTTAAGTGCTCTGAATGCGATGGAAAAAAAAGCGCTATTCACTATAAAAAGTATCGTTACAGCGTATGACAGATGTGTGTTTTAAGTAACGAGCAGCAACATATTCTCCGTGAATTTAAATATACGTGGCTGGGCCATTAATGTATTAACACTGTGTGAGAAACACTGTTGAAGATATTTGCTCGTTTTGTTTACACTTTTAACAGTTTTACGGATTCCACAATACCACAATGTTGACAGTGACTTTACCTCAAAGTTATGGCTGAGGCAGAGCTCAAGAGACTGGGTGCACAGCATCATGTTACCCTGCAGCAGGTGGATCTGGGCCATTAACAAATGTGCATCGGCATGAGACGGACAGTGGTCTAAGCAGTGCTGTAGACTGCTCTGAGCAGCTTCAATGTCACCTGAGTGCACACAACAGCAATGCCATTTAAGATACATCTAACAAGAGACAATAATGGACAAAAAGGCACATTAGCAGCTAAATTGCAGCCCTTACCTGACTGATATCTGACTTTGGCTAACATGAAGACAGCTTGCAGGAGACCAGGCACTATCTTGACCACAGTATCCAACAACGTGGCACAGTGCTGAAGCTGAGGTGCAGGAGGCTGGCCAGGGGCAGGAGGCTAACAGAAGATCAGTGTACATGCTACTTCAGTATTACACATTCATATTCACCCATATTTTTCATAAGTCTTTAAGCAGGAGTGTTTAATCATCAAGAAATCTTTCCAAAGAAAAGACAAAATGATGACTAGAAAATAAAAAACATAATCTCTCTTCCCCTTTCCAAAATGAAGGCCCTTATCAGTGATTGTTGTACCTTAGAAGGACACAGTGCAAGATACTCTTTCACAATCTCTAACAGAAAGTCCGGGTTCATTTTCTCCAGGTATTCTACTCCCAGGGGCAGACCCTGAAGAGAAGAGAAGTGTGTGTCCACCGCATCATTCAGCAGGTTGGTCACCTCCTCCGGGGAGCGGCGCTTTTTAAGCGATAACACTGCATTTAGGTACAGAAGGTCCTATAAGGGTAAAGGAAAAGAGGAGAAAGACATAGATGAAAGAATTCAATTACTTAAAATGGTCATTCTTTACCAAATAAAAGATACCACATTTAGAGCCAAAAGAAAACTTAGAGGAGGATTTACAGAGAAATAAAAACAGTATTCCTCCCACTATGTTTGCATAATTCCTCAGAAATAGTTCTAAATCAAAATAAAAACTCTAACAGAGAACATTACCGCTGATTTTCCAATTGATTGCTGAATCTCTGTGAGAAATTCCAATTGCTGTTCAGCATCTTCAAGTTGGCCCTCTATAAGCTGACAACAAGCTATGCCTGGATAATGACAGCATCATGAAACATTTCCATCTTAATCTTTTGTGTTCATCTACAAATTAATTTTGCACTCAAAGTATCATATAAACACGTTACCAGTCAAAGCCGAGACGCTAGCTTTCTCCCTGTTGGTAATAGCAGTCTTGTACCACTTCATGGCTTCCTTGATTCTGCCTTGAAGCACCATCTGGTAACCTAACTCGGTGGCGAAATCCGGGTCCTCTGATGCCACAGCAAAGGCTCTTTCCACCATTCTGGATGTCTGCTCGATCACTTTCTCATTGCGCCCACACTGGTGTGGAACAAAAAATACAAGAACTGTCATTTTCTGCAAGGAACATCTCAGAGGTAAAAAAAAAAATCAATTATCAACCGTTCAAATCACAATTCCAACATATCCAAGAAAATCCCATGAACTTTCAAAGAACATAAATAGATAAATGATTGAAAATCTTTTGAAATAATACCTTTTTGAAAAATCTCAAATCATGTATTGTGTTTAGCTACAAAGCTCTATTATTGTGTAATAGTCATAACAAAAAAAACACCAAATGTAAATTTGTTGCAAGTAAGTGGAACACTTTCATTTGAATGCAACCTGATTCTAAAATCAGAAAATGAACTGCCAAACTTGGATTAATGTTAAACATTTAGCAAGATTATCAGCAAATTATCCCCAGAGTTCGATGGATGTTATTTAACAGGTAAAAAAATTCAGAACTGAAATGAGACCTTAGAGGTTAACTTAAGGAGTTCTGCAGAAAACGTCAAACATTGCCATAAGGTTCAGACTAATAACGAAAAAGTGGGCTTACAACACGTGTGAAGGCGAGAGACATCCTGTAGTACAGCTCAGGGTTGTTTGGCTCCAGTATGTCTAGGCTGCTGATGACGTTTGAGAGGTGCTTTACAGCCTGTCAAATGGGGACACAAAGACTTGCAGGTCCATTATACTGTACATTACACTTAGTAAATGAAAATGAAGAACACATTTTTCAATTTTATTGATGCTAATTTCTATTGCTGTGTTCAATATCAGGAAATGTAAAAATGTGCTCATTTTACCTCAGTGATATCACCGTCTCTACACAAAGCGTGTAGGGCTAGTATCCGCAGTGCCTCCAGGTTATTTTGATCTTTCTGTAAAAGCCTGAAACATAATACGAGATGCTGTCAAGGTAGTCCATCTCACACCTAATAAGCTAAGATTTATTTTATTGATAGTAATAGAATATCTGATACTCCAGCGGTACTGTGTTGAGCTCCCAGACAAATAACATTAAAACTAAAAGGAAGTATGAAGGCATCTAAAGGATGTAAGACGCACAGTTTTCTGCCTTCCCCTCACACTTCTGTTATCACATAACATATTTCAATTTTGAGAAATGCATAAAAATTATACCAGATCTCTTACCTTTGTGCTGCATCTATGGTTTGGTCCCAGTCTTGAAGATTCAGCAATAATTTCATTTTCTTGATGAGAGCAGGTAAGAACCCAGGGAAACTCACTATGACCTGGTTAACCATCTCTAATGCTCCAGAGTAGTTCTGACGATATTCGTAGTATTGTGACTGAAACACGTGGAAAATCAGTAAGGGACAGTGACAAAAACAAAATATAAAAAGTGTGCATTCAACCATGACTAACAGAGAAGCAATGTTTGAAATGTTATGTTAAAAACAGTGACATTTATTACAGTCCAAGAAATCTGTGACTGTAATATATTTGAAAAAGTAAGAGTTATTTAAATGTTCATATGTGCAATAACATTTCACATATTTTTTGTCTTTTGTCTTTGTTTTGATTTCAATAAGGTGTAAGTTTAAATGATTTGCTGAAAAAACACCCTACAATTTGCATTTGTAGTTGAAAAAAATAATTCAAGTGTGGATCTGTATTTTCCATGTCACCTTTCCCATCAGGGCAAAAACATCTGTTCTCTCTTTCAGCCCCTCATCGAAGTATTTTCCAGCCTTTCTGGCATATGCATCTTTCCCAGATGTTACATCTATCCAAGCTTTCAGGATGATCCCCTAAATGACAAACATGATCACAATTATAAAAGCTTCATCTATTCAGTAATTGCACTGGCTTTTTAATACATAATCACACCATTTCTCAATCATCTTATAGGTTAAAAAAATTCTTACCTCACTAGAGCCATTGGAGAGTTTGATCATTCTTTCTGTGTACTCCCTTGCTTTATCATTACGCCCTAACAGCCACAGAAAAGTGCCAGCATGGTACAGACTCTTGGGAGGTGCACTTTTTCGATCCTCTTTGACCTTAGCATCAAGTTCCTGAATAACTTCTCTGTCTGGGAATATAAGATACAATTACACAATTCTTAGAAATTAGAATAGTAATAACTCCTAAATGAGCAATAAACAACTCATACAATTCCAAACAAACGTGCAAAAGTACAAGAACTAGGCTGCCTTACCAGGGTTAGGTTTTCTTTTCTCAGCATATACGAGAGCCATTAATGTGCTGAGGGACAGGTCCCGATCACCTCTTATTGTGTCCAGATCTGCAGTAGCTTCTTCAATTTGTCCTTGCATAAGAGTCCCGTAAGCGTGGAAAAACACATAGATGGGATGGTGGCCGTACTTCCTTTGAGCAGCTGATGAGGCGTTTACGGCATGACTGAAGTACTTTTCATAACAATAAAACTTGATTAAGGCCTGAGGAAAACATAAGGAAAGAACTTTCTTTATCAACATAAGATGTATGGAGCAAAAACAAGAGGATGGATGGCTCCAAATGGTTTATCGTTCTACAAATTAATTTGATATGACAGAATAACTAAAAAGTAGCATGAAGAACGTGTAAAGAGCCTTATTTTAAAGCAACAATGCTTGTTAGCTAGCTCGACTAAGTTGTTGCTGTGCCAAAAGCTGCTACAAATCCTACACCTTTTTGAAGATCTTAAGCTATAAGTGTCCCTCACCATTTTGACCTAAATAAGCTTGTTTTAGTTGTCCCAAACAAGTCACATACAAATGATTATTTTTGCTCTCAGATTTCCTTTGAGTCCTCGGGGGCTCATCTTTCGTTAGGCTTACCAGGGCTGTTTCTTCATCCTCCATTTTGTTTGAAACGGTTAAGCTTTAGCAGATATTGACTTAGACGTTAGTATAATAACTAGACAACAGTTCTTGTGTACACGTTCTTTAAAATATGACTATCCTTATTGCAGTTTTCGTTCTATTTGCGCCATCTTGCACCAAGTCCTTTAGCGTTGCCTGGTAACTTAGGAACGGTGCGCGGAGTATTTAGTCCCTACTTCAAGACTTTCAGGTTACACTTCCTTTGTAGCTGAAGCATGAACCATTTTATTTTATCACGGGTTTGAGTTTTGATCATCAAAATGGGTAAAATCTCCTGTATTTAAGTTTTATTACATTTTATATGGTCTTCGATGGAATATCTGACAATAAACATAATGGTTTGTAAAGTTTAAAGAAGCCTGAAAGACCAAAATCTGGTAAAAATAGTTGACTTGACGATTGAGTCAAGATAGATTTTCTTTTATATCTATAGGGGGCGTAATCAGTCTTCTTATTATTTTGATGTCATACTGTTCCAATTGCTAAAACTAAGGCTGACCCTGCTATTTTAAATAAAATATAGAGAGAATAATACATCGGCATAAATGTACAGAAGACTGTGAATTAAAAAAAAAGTTTATCTAATGCCATTTACAAATAAAGTGGTTGAAAGTGTTGATAATATTGCATTCATACGTATAGATTTATACATAATCATAAAACATGATTCATTTAAAAATGATTTTCTATTATCTTACAAGAAAAATTTCCTCATTTTGAATTTTATTTTAACAACACATCAGAAGGATTCAAGCTGTTCTGTACTGTTTGGTGTTCCTTGCCATTCCTTGTATTTTGGCTTTCATGATGCAGACACTTCTTCAATTTAGTGATCTTCAAAATCTTCTCATTTGAAATCACGCTATTTCAGAACATGTTAAATGGGTTATAGCTGGGCTGGAGCATTTTGTTGTTCTAAAAGCTTTGTTGTCAAAAAAGTGATTTCAAATTTTGACATGTCTGACCCCAGATCTGTTCCCACTTTGTTTTTTGAGGTCTTATTGTCATTTTTCTTTTATGTTGCATAACATAATTCCTATGATTATCATTAGAGAACCAGATTTGTTGAACAGTGACCCAAAAATACAGACTTCCTTTCGTCAATTTTTGGCAGTGTTCCTTGTCCATAAGGACATATCGAGATTCTCTGAAACATTTGACCATTAGTTTCCTAATGACTTTTAAGCGTATATCCCCCTATTCACACTTTTGAGAGATGTTTAAGTCATAAAAGGATAAACTGTCTCAAATTCAAAATTGTAATTGTTTTCAAAGTTTGTTTGTTTTCTATTGTGAATAAAATATCCACTCTGGAGAGTTGCTTTGATTGAGTCAATTTGATTGCTTTAGTATTTACTTTTGGGTACCTTCTTCACTACATTTAATTGCATGTTTGTCATACATTATATAACTGTAATTCAATATTTTTTACGGTTGAGTAACTACAGCGATCAAGTAAATGTGATGTGGCAAAACAAATGATATTTGAGAAATAGAGGAGTTGAAATAAATAGAAACATTAAACCGCACCCAAAAGGTTGCAGCATCTTCATAACTTTACTGCGTTTAACCACTCCTGTATGATTTGAACAATCCATGACAGAGGTCAAAGTACAATCCACTTTGAATATATGGAAATGATGTGAGGTAGTTCACTTGTAGAAAATACAGTCAAATATGCTTGGTTAGTGTGTTTTTTTATTTTTATGGCAGGCCCTTTCTGTTCCATGGACACAGAATTAGAATTTTTAAAACAACATTGACACTTTGTGCATTTTAATATATTGTACCATAGAAACTATGGTAATTTTAATATTTTCAGAATAATATTTTCACACATCAATTCTACACATTATGTGCAGAATGATATGTTATGCAACACCATGAATTGACTTTATAACATATGATATCCACAGTGTTGAGTCATGGTGCAACTGTTCCAACAGAGACCTTTCCATGCCTTGTCAGATACTATTTAGCGCTAACCCTGGCACATAATCATTATTCTCTACAGAACACATCAATGGAAGAGTAAATCAGGTTGATATCGAGCTCTGTGTAAAGTATGTGCAGCAATGGCAAATGTCTGCACATTGTTTAAGGGAATTTTTCTAGTTTAGAAACTTGTTGGGGGTTGTTTTACCATAACACATGCATGACCAATAATGATCATTTATTAATATGAAATAAAGGAAACATTTATGGGAAAAAACTCTGGGAGTTTTACAATGATGATACAGCTTTCAGTATTCACATGGTGGATTTCTGAGGTGTTGTACTTAGCAAAGAGCAATGAATACTGCATGTGTTGTTGCACTTTCAAAGGATGCTTCTGAAAACCTATTAGACCAGTACAATGGAATACTGACCCCCCGGGGTATATTACTATAGCATTTGTAATGGCTATATCCATTGTGGTTTGTACAGCCCATTATTGATCAAAGCGCCATGCCCAATTATACAAGCAAATCATTTGCTAATGAACTCTTTACTTCTATTTTCCATACTGGTTGTCATAAAAAAGTTGCTTTGAATATGATTACTTTGCACTTCAATGTTTAGAAATGCTACTTACAGGATCCATCATTATGTTTCTGAGTTGATGTTTTTTTCACATTTGCTGTGACATTAAAGCAGCTGATGAAAAACATAAATCAAAGGTAGAAAATGTCCAGCTGCCCCATTTTATGAGTAAGAAAAATGTCTCTTATGACAGGAACTATCAGGTGCTGGTTTAAACACAAAGCAAGACTAAACAAAACAAAAAAAGATACATCCATGCTTCTGACAGTTTGTCTGTCTATTAGCACACGAGGAAGTATAAGAGGGAACTCACCACTATCTAGCATAATGGGATTTTAAAGCCATCTATCCACAGCAAATAAAATTACGGAGCTGTTATGGGTAGCATTCTCAGATTTCTCTCTGAAACGTTGCCCCCTCCACACATACCAGTGGGCAGATCCCAACCAAATAGTCATCCTTTCTCACAAACATGTCCAAAGATTACTGCCAAGCATGCAAGACAACAGACATAGGGACAGTAGACCAACGTTCGACCTTCCACCCTAATGCAGTCTAACAAAGGAGTTTGCTGTCAGGTTGCTGGGCAACGAGCAAGGAGAATCTGCAGAATCATTCTTGATTTATTGGCCAGTAAAACAGGCTATCTGTAATCCCACTTGTTGCCATTGGTAAGGCCGTGTGCTGATTTCAGTTACATATTATGCAATGTTGGATCTTTCACATGGGTTTAAATTACCTTAAGAAAAAAATGGATGCAGAAAGAAAGTCCTGACAGCAAAACAATTTGCTTGTTTGTTTCTGTGATGTGGTGTAAATTCATACAGGCAAACACTTGGACTGGTAATGCTCAAATTATGTGCACACTACCATGTCGGTAAAACAACATGTGAGCCATAAAGCACCTCAGATGGGCGTGGCAGAAAGTCATAATCACATTGTTATTTGACAAAATGGCAGAAATAATGAGCACTTTGCTATCAGTGTCCTGTTTACCGTCCACAGGATTCAGCAACCGCAGTAGGCAATAGCGATGCTGGAAAATAAAGGAATATTTGGATTGCCGTTAATAATTGATAAAATGTCCATCCGCTTTAGATGCTAATAGTTCTGGCAGATACCACACGACATACTCAGAAACCAGATTCTAGCCTCTTACACAGATGTTTGTTGAAACATATTGCACAGCAAGGATGAACTTTTACCCGTTCAAATTTGTGCGAAGACGTTATTTTTGATTTTAGCAAAAAAAATACTTCTGGTACATGTTATGTCACTTAAGACACAGTAGCTTTTGATATTAAATTCAAGACATTAATTTCCTGTAGCTAAACCATTACTGTTTGCTTACTAATTGCATTTTACACATGAAATGCACACAGATGACTTCCATACTTTATAGCTTTAATCTGGCACCAGTGATGAATCAGAAGCCAGACTGCTGTCTGGTTGAAGCAACCTTTAGCTGGAGGCTTTTCCATGAATCGTTGTTACGAAAAAATAATGCTTAATGACCACGAATCATGTTCCCACAAGGTACTCAAACCTGATAAAATTTCATCCTCTGAGAACTTGAAGTTAGTTTAATGAGAAAGTATGCTCAAATCCTAGCCCGCCATTATGACTAAACTAAACTAAAGCACTGTGAAGGCAGCACACGAAAAGTTACCTTTGATTGGATATGTATTTTTTTGTATTTTTCATCCTGCTGTTAACAGAAAAGCTCTTTTAGAGAATCTCCACAAACTAAATCATAAATATACATCATATAACAGACAGAAAAAGGGTTCTGGAAGCTGAAGTAAATGTAGATGAGGAATGAATAATTAAATTAATCGTTATATTCATAAAAAGCATAGCTTTAATGTATCTAATATGGTAGGATGGCTCACATAGCAACCCTTCATATTTTGGTTTGGCAACACTACAGTACTTGCAGGTAAAAATTGAACTCCAGTGGTTGTTCTTGAAACATTTTGAAATGTGTGTGGTAGGGACGATCCAGTATGTTTCTTTTATCCAAACCTATGTTTTGTGTTTTTTATTGCCAAAACATGTATAGGTGAAAGTTTTCAGGAGATTTAGGGAATGACTGAACAATAAATCATTCTGAGTACAACACAGAAAAAATAAGTAGAAAAAAAGACTGAATTAAATTCTTAATAAATGTTTAAGATATGAAAAAGTTGACCCACATTGTGTTGAATTCTCTCTCATCATATTTTAATAAATAAACAAATCAGAGCCAAAATTTATAATGACAGTTAAAAGTCTAATTTTAAAAGAATGTTTCTATGCTCAAATATGTTTCAACATTTTCTCATGTATAACCTACTTCAATTTACCTCAAACCAAAAGCATACTCAAACAGGATCTGCCATTTTCTTTTTTTGCGATCAAACAAATGAAGAATAGATTTTGTGGGCATACTATCATCTTTATTTATTATTTCACCTTTTTTGAGAAGTGAGTAATAGCAATGTTTGCATGCAGTTTGTTTATATACTACAAGTATTATGCATATAAACAAAGGGAAATGTTTGACTCTGTCATAAAAACATTCTCTCACTGTGCATAAAGTGTAACATACATATTGGGACATTTTCATGACATGCAAGATGTAATTATCACTTGAGTTATATTATTTAGGACAACAGATCAAGCCTAACATTTATGATGGCTGTTTCAGGGGAGCAACAATATAAAATGTAAACAGATACAGGAAATAGGACCAAGGCCATTTCCTTATGATCATTCAGAACATCTGAGCCATCTTTCATCCATCTCCGATATTCATCTCGATAAAGATTGAGATTTAATCTGAAAACAAGAAAGTTTAAAAATATTAAAAATTGTCAGCCCCTTGAGGAATTTAATGTGGAGCTCAGTGTTTTTAAGAAAAATAACTGGCAATATTGCACATTCAACAAAATCAACAGAGAATCAACAAGTATTTAGTCATACCAAGTGATTACATAATCAATAGAGAAAGCATATCACTACAAGAAAAAACTCAGATGATTAAAAACAGGGTATGCAAGAGGAGAAGCTGTGTATGTTGGCAAAGTTGAAAACTTGAATCTACACGGCTTCCCTGAAAATAACAATGTTAAAGATCATCTGTTCCTCTAAAGCAAGGTGACATGGTATGATTCATAATAAGACAAACTATCATAAATTCAAATTTTGGGTAAAAAAAAACAAACACATTTTTCTCTCTTTTTCACCTTTAAAAGGCATTGGGGTCTTTGCTTTTGGAACAGCTTCATGATAAACTCAGTAAATAATGAAAAATAACCATGCCAGATGGTAGAAAACAGGACACTGAGATGATGAAACAATGTGCAAAATGTTTTTGACTTAGATGATGGGCTTCTTGTTTTGTAGAAAGAGCAGGTCATGACTACACGTATCACAAAATGTGGGAGAGAATGTGATGAAAACAGCACTCTTTGGCATGCATAACCGTGGAGAAACTTTCATGCAGGTCTACATTTGAACCAACTCTAACCCTGACATTACCTCCTGGCTTTGGCCAACATTCTTAGCACTGTCAGCAAGCATGACCAACCTTAAAGCAATTCATTCATGGAAAAGATTACCCCTGAGGGAGCAACTGAGAGATAAAAAAAATATAAAAAGTCAACTGACAAACAAAGAATTCTCCAGTAACAAAACACTTTCAGCTTGAAAAACAGAAGCTTGTAATTGAACAGTCTGTGATATAATATTAATTCAAGACACTGGAAAGCAGAACTAGCTGCAATTAAAAATGAAAGCTCAACTAATGTGTGCGTCAAAACACTTCAAATAATGTTGCCAGTCTCCGCAAACAGTCAACAGGTTTGATGCCCCCGAAATCATTCATAAGCATATGATTAAGCATGAATGAGTTACTTTTAGAAACAAGCCTCAAGTAAGCAGTCCTTGAGGCATAGTGGACATCCATACCAAGGAAGGGAGACATTTTCGAAATTGTAAACATTTTGTCATTAAAGTCTTTGTTGCACCTCGAGCACATAATAACATGACACCCACGTCTATATGACATCTTTGGTTGCAACCTCCTTTTCACTTTTGTCCTTTTCGCATTTGTTTTTCTCATTGGCCACACTATCAGATGAAGGCTGAGATGCCATCGAAGGCGCCTGCTCAGCTTTATCTGCACAAGAACCACCTTCATGTTCTTTTGTGGCAAGTTCTTCCTTGTCAGTGACTTTTTCATCCTTTTCCATGCCAGCAATGGATGCATCGTGGGACTTAATACTTTTTCTGTATCTTCTATACGCTCTCTGAATGACAGCAGCTGAGATATCCTCCTGCTTGCGACGGACTGTTGTGGTGATAGGCTCATATGAGATTTTGGAGGGATTGGAAGCCATGAAGCGCTCCTCCATTTGTCCCCTAAGAATGTCCATCTCTCCTCCCTCACCAAGAACACGTTTTGTGAAGGTAAACAGGATATCCATGCAATGTATACGGTCCCCACTCACAATCGGGAGGTCCATGGAGATAAGTTCGATCTTGTTAGGCTTGGGAATGCGTAAGGGCAGTGACAGAGCATCTGCAAAATCTGAAAGCATATTGTACCTCAAGAATTGCGTTGCATGAGGATCAAACTTCTCCCAAACCTCGTAAAACATTTCAAAGTCATCCTCGCTCAATGGGTCAGAGCTCTCCTCAGTGGCCACACCAAAGTTTTCCAGGATGACTGCAATGTACATGTTTATCACAATGAGGAAGCAGATGATGATGTAACTCACAAAGAAAGCAATTCCCACCGAAGGGTTTCCACAGTTTCCTCTGAAAGAGCTGCCAGGATTTTCCACGCTGGGGTCACAATCCTCTATGTGTTTGTTAAGCATCGGAGCTAAGAGGCCATCCCACCCTGCTGATGTGGTGATTTGGAACAAACAGATCATGCTGTTGCCAAATGTCTCAAAATTGAAAAGGTCATCAACACCTTTTTCCTTCTTGACATAAGCAAAATTGGACATGCCAAAGATGGCATAGATAAACATCACCAAGAAGAGCAGGAGACCAATGTTGAACAAAGCAGGTAGTGACATCATCAAGGCGAACAAGAGTGTGCGGATTCCTTTGGCACTTTTAATAAGGCGGAGGACGCGGCCTATTCGAGCCAATCGAATGACTCTGAACAGGGTTGGGGAGACGAAGTACTTCTGTATAACTTCTGCGAGAAACATACCTAAGAAAAGAAATGACAGCATATGACACACTGCAAATAACAGTTAGGCTTAAAAGTGATTTTTTTTTGTCTTAAGCAAAGAGTGTATCATACCAATGATTGACAAAACGACCACGATGAAGTCAAAAACATTCCAGCCATTTATAAAATAGTACTGGCGCAGAGAGATCATCTTCAACAAACATTCTCCAGCAAAGATGACAATGAACACAACATTGATTTTTTGGAGAACTTCGGTCTTTTCATCGGACTGGTCAGCACTTTCTACCATCATAGCTACCATATTCAGCCATATTAAAATCATAATCACAATTTCAAATGCTTGCTGGGTGGTGAAGTCAAAAATGTATCCATGAATCTTGTTCTGAATGAGACACACAAAAAAATGCACAGTGAAGATAACAGAATTGACATTTTAAGAAAAATAAAAGTTATTTTATAGATAAAAGCTACATACAGAGGGCCTAGGAATAGGTTTTTGTGGTTTCTTTGACCCAAGCTTTTTCATGGCATTGTAATATTTTTTCTGGTCTTCAGTCATGAAGATGTCCTGGCCTCCAAAGTAAAATGGAGCAGAAAAGCCATGTTAAATCACAGAAGAAGACAAATTCTGCAGAAAGAAGATTTGATACTTATCTTTTTTTTCTGCTGGTTGAAATTGTCTATGATGACACCAATGAAGAGATTCAGAGTGAAAAAGGCTCCAAATATTATGAAAACAACAAAATATAAGTACATATATATGTTGATTTCATATTCTGGCTGCTCTTCTGGCTAAAACAAAGACAAAACAGATCATTTCATTGATCAAAGAGTAAATGAGCACATACTTGACAGGTGGTTGATGTAGTGACACCAACAAGAATGTATCAATACAAACAATTAAAGAAAATTCCATAAAAAAAATTGTGTAAAATACTGTGCTGTATATATAATTCGGAGCCTCTTCAAGTTAAAGTTCCAGCGGCAGAGTTAATTAATTAAATTAATTAATTGCTTTGAAAAAAACTAAAAATGAAAAAATAAAATTTGCATTACCATGTTTTTTAAAATAAATTATGCAATTCTGTTTCGATGTAGACGATCAAATACAGCTTTTTAGTAATAGTAGTGCTTAGCCACACATAAAATATTTAATTACCTTGCCGGGAGAGTCCACGGCAGCATACATGATGTCCATCCAGCCTTTAAATGTAGCCTGCATACAAATAGACTCAACAAATAAGAGAGGTAAATGCACATAATGTGCTGATATCTTTATTATAAAAAAAATTTCTTGGAACTTACCACTTGCAACAGTGCAAGGTACCCCATGCCAACATTGTCAAAGTTGACTTTAATGTTTTTCCAACGAGCAGTCTCGTTATATAGCATGCAGTCATTCCTGTTTTTCACTAGTATTCGAGGCAAAGGCTTATCCGTGGTTTTGTTCACACAACTGTAGAATTTTCCCGCAAACAAGTTGACTCCCATGATGCTGAAGATCAGCCAGAAGATGAGACAGACTAGGAGCACATTGAAGATGGATGGAATGGCTCCCAGTAGGGCATTGACAACCACCTGTGTATGAAAATACAACCATAAGATATCTGTGCTACAGGTTCATTTAGTCATTTCAATCGTCTTAGAACCGTTATGACTGAACACCAAAGCTTAAACAGAATGGAATTACTTGGTAAAAACAGGGAAAAAGAAAGGCAGCAGGGTATGGTTCAAAATAGACACTCATTCTGAGAAAGGTTTTAGTTAAAGGCTTTAAATAAACTCTGAAATAGAAGAGTTTGTGGTGGACAAATAAGGTTACAAAATATGATTACTGTGAACTGATATCTTAACTGAAGCAGAGCTATTGATGCATGTGAGAAAATCCGCATGCAAATAAGGGAATTCAATGTTCACCACGTGAGGAAAGATAGTCATTGTGGTGTTAAAAAAAAAAGACTGTAAAAGGAATCAATCGATGCTACATTGATTTAAACAGCTGACGTACCCACACGTTCAGTTACATAAGTTATCATCCTTTTAGGCCATAACTGTAAAGCAAAATATCCTTCAGATACAATATAGGAAATATATATTTTTTGTGTGAGGAACATGGTGCCCTCTCAAAATAATTCAGCATTTCAGGCAAATTGCACTCTTTTTTAGTTTTATGGGGGAAAATTTAAACCAGGTCCAAATTGTTTAAGTGTGGAATTGGAAACAACTGAATGTTAGCTTAGTATAAATACCTGAATGAATTCGTAGCATTGTAACATTGTCCTTAATGAAAATGGCACAGGAAGTTTCATTTTCATAGAAACTATGGTGAACTGCTTAAAAAAAAACCCAGACTAGATTCTATGATTTATATATATATATACTTCATAAGCAAGCAATGACTCATAATCCCAAATAAACATAATAATAATTGATGACAATGTTAGGCTCTGCAAATTCCATACTCAGGAATGATGACCTAAAGTGAATTCTGGTGAATCTTGGAAATGTAGTGTTGTCACTGCTTCCTGCCAGAAAATATTCCACCATAACTGTCTCCACGATCCCCGGTTTCATTCAGTCACAAGTACTTACATAAAACAATGAATCAATTCCGGGATACTAGTATAACACATAAACATGAAGCCCTGGTGTGAACAACCCTTTGCTGAAGCCGTTTTGATTCTCCAAGACTATAAATCAATGACCTAAACCCTGTAAGACACTAATAGTTCACAATCCAAATGTCATAAAAATCTGAATATCCCTTCAACCTTGTTCTTCAGTGCAATTATATGGTGGTAGACAGTACACTGTTTCTCAGAAAGGGAAAATTATTCACTGTATGTATGTGTGTGCATAAGGATGTTAAGTCATTCTACCCTCATTCCTTCAAATCTTGACAGGGCTCTCAGGGGCCTCAGAGCTCGCAGGGTTCTCAGAGACTTGATCGCACCCAGTTCTGCAACTCCTAAAGCATTTGCCACCAAACTGACCAGTGAAACCTGGGACAAATGGGCACAGAAATTACTCTTTGAGCAGAGAGAACATGTTATACAGAGGACACACCCATTGTTACAGATATTAAATTCTTTCATAGGATAAAATGAGATGTTTAAACCTACGTCAACAATGAGGAAGTCCAACCAGCACCATGCATTCGTGAAATATTTGGCAAATCCATACGCCACCCATTTAAGCAACATTTCTAGAATGAAAATGTAGGTGAAGATTTTATCTGCAAATTCCAAGATGGTTTTGATTGTCTTCCTTTGCTCTATGTAGATGTCTTCAAATGCCTGATGAGAAATTGGAAACGCTGAGTCTTAATTGTAGATTTCAGAAACAAAAATCATCTACAGAAAGATATTTTACATATAAAATGTTTGTTTGTATTTTGAGGTGAACGAAAATCAAAGACTTACAAGTGCTCCACTGCTGAGCAATATCATGAAGATAATGAAGCTCTCAAACCAGTTGTGCTCCACGATCCGGAAACAGGTTTTTCTCAGTGTCCACCATACCTTCCACCAACCCACATCCACATTTACTTGGCAACACTTGATGTTTTGCACACAGCCTGAGAAGAGACAGAAGAGTGATGGTGTATTTTCCCATGTTTTGCCCTGAGGCAGATCAAACCCAACCCTGAGCACTTGTTGACAAGCTACAAAGTCATGCATTTACCTGGAGGAAAGCAGGCGTCAGGTTCCATAGCTTCCTGTAAATCAAAATCTAAAGACTCTGCTCTCTCTCCAGCAGGCAGACCATCCACTGTGCTACCCTCAGAGGAGCTGAACTGGTCATCATCATCATCCTCATCATCATTGTCATTAATGGCCTGCAGATAAATCCAAGATACAACACTAGTATAAGATGGACAATAAGCCAACTGGCACTGAAATAGATGACTGCTCAATTTGCACGTGGTTAAACTTCATATTAGATATATGATGGCTTAAACAAAGACCTGTTATTGATAAATGCATACAATGATAAAAATGGGCTGATTAGTGTGAACATTACATAAATAGCATTTTCATGCACAGCTAAAATCAAATATCAAAACTTGTAGACTGTTTTCTATGTGAGTTAAACATTCACAGCCTATGCGTTAAAAGGTAGATTCAGAAAATGTTTAAATTGACGTAATATTTCAAGCCTGACATTGTTTTTAAGTAGCCACATGGTCTCTAATTTAGCTTATTGTTGTATGGCTCGCTGCAGGGTGTGTCTCTTAATAGCTGGTATGAGAACAACTTCAATGTCTTCCTGGAGAACGCAGAAGCACTCGGCTGCCCAGGGACCAGCTAATGCAATGCAGGCAGCGATGTAAACATGTTACTGAGATATTCCGGATACCCTAATGTCAGTTTGATGATAGCTTGAGCTTCAAACCAACCATTTATTCTGAAGCAAAATCAAAAGTCAACTGTTGAGCTCAAAAGTAACACATGTTTTCTGAACTAGTGCTTAAAACGTAAGGTCTGTACAAATTAAACCTGTTTTCTCATCATGGTTGGTTACATTCTCACCAGGCACTTCGGCATTAACTATGTATAATAGCTGTCTGCCACAAACAAAATCCTCATTATACTTCTTCATTTTGAATTTGTACTAGTATTTGTACCTTTTACACCACCAGCTCTTGCAAACAAACCAATGCAAACCAAAGTACGCCAGAGGATGATTCAGTGCCCCAGCACTCCAGACGTAAATGGTACTTAATGTAATCTACACGCTAGCATTTTCCTGTCTGTACAATCTCTCTTTGGTATTAGAAATCTATGGAGGAAACATTATGACTCTTTCCTGACTGTTGGAGCAGAGGTGCAACAGGCGACCCCATTTCTCTCAACATAAAAGACTCGACACAAACATCCTTGGTGATGTTCACCCCTCATAAATAATCTGCTTGTGAAAAGGCTGTTGAGACTATGTTTTAACACAGTATTGTATCAATTGACCAATCACTGTAAACTGACGAATCCACAACAGCAGTCTTACCACATGGAATGGAGGTATTTCAGATGAGAGACTGCTGAAGTCTTCAGTGTTGAGCATTTCAAAGTCAGACTCCCCCACAGCAATGGGTACTGTAACAGTCAGACTGGGGTTATTGATGAAAGACATAATTGAGTCATCACTATTGCTCCAGACTATGTACTTGTCTCCACTCTTGTCCACTCCAATCACATCCCCATTCCCATTCTTATGAAATTCTTTGACAGCATGGTCCTGGACCCCGTTTAGCCCAAACGTTTTGTGGAGCTCATCCAGAGGCCTGTCTTCAATCGTCCTTTTTTTTTCATCCCTGTGACATAAACTTCTGCAGCCACTCCGAATCAGTGATTTGGTGATGGTAATGCCTCTCTGAATCCGTGCAATTGCAATCTGTAAATTGTTCATCTCGCTGTCGTCGTCCACCCCTGCCAGACTGTCGGCACTAAATGAACTCAGCAGCAGGGCCAGGAACAGGTTCAGTACCTAGAAAATGATAGCATCAATTAATTTATCTATGGTCTTTTGTTCTTGAATGATATCAGCAAAACAAGTATTACTGAAACGGCATCACAGATATTCATTATTTCCAAGAAATTAAGAAAAAATTGATGATTTTATGGTTTATGATCGACCATAAAGAACATTAAAAGTGTACCACAAGGTTTCCAATGACCATGACCATCATGTAGAGAATGAGACACTTGGTAGTCCCAGCCACTTCCATACAGTCCCACATGGTCTCTATCCATTCTCCACAAAGCACTCGGAACACAATGAGGAATGAATGGAAGAAGTCACTCATGTGCCAGCGAGGCAGAAAGCAGTCGTCAGAGATTTTACACACGCAGTCCTTGTAGCTTTTTCCAAACAACTGCATCCCCACCACAGCAAAGATGAAGACAATAATGGCCAACACCAGGGTCAGGTTGCCCAATGCTCCCACTGAATTACCAATTATTTTGATGAGTGTATTCAGAGTGGGCCAAGATTTTGCCAACTTGAACACTCTCAGCTGTAAAAAGGAAAAAGAGGTCAAGTAATTTCTCCGGATCAAAACACACTTCTAGGCAAGAACGTATGCGACAAAACTCTACTAAACCTGCAGTACAATCAGCATTTAAGTGGAGGCAATGTGGTTTAGTTACAAAAGAATATGAGGGGACAATATATCAGCTCTGTGTGAAAGGCAGGGCACACCCTGTGTAGTTTGTTATTATATCACAGGGATATCAGAGAGACACAGAACAACACAGACTCACAACTACTCCCAGAATTCACTTAGAACAACTAGTTAATCAAATACACATTATTTTAGGTAATGGAAGGAACCCAGAGAGATATACCCAGAGAAAACTCACATTTAATTGAGAACCTTCATCTAGAAAATGCTTAAGGTAGGATTTAATCTAGAAACCCTCTCACTGAGTTGTAATGGTACTAATCACCACATCAGCAAACAGCACAACATTTTAAATCCCTAAAAGTCAAGTCTGGTACGCAAGACATATAAGACCAATCCAACTTCTTGCATGGTTATTTTTTAACTGAGGTCAGTCCGTCATTAAATCTCCAATAATATTTAGGGTAGTCGTCAGGCTTCATTACTTATCCTCCATCCACACCGACATCCTTATATTGTCTCCAGTCTCCAGTCAGTTTTATCTATGTCATCAAACTAGAGTTAAAACACTTGTATGATTGTTGAGGATGGACATGTAGTGGCATTGCAATAATTGTGCATTATTTTTTAAGACGTATTGTGTATGCTAATCCCCTCGTTTCATTGCAGATGAGTTTTCACCTACTTTTAGGAGCCAATGCACATTTATAGTGAAACTTACCAATCTGAATGATCTCAAAACAGACATTCCAGACAAATTGGCCAGACAAAGCTCCAGCAAGCTTAAACTGACAATGATTCCGTCAAAAATATTCCATCCTTGTTGAAAATAATAGTATGGGTCCAAAGCAATGATCTTGAGAACCATTTCAGTTGTAAAGATCCCAGTGAACACCTACAGAAAGAAAAATCTAATTTACAAAGATGATAAGTATTTGCAAAACATGCACAGTACTCCAAAGTCCGCTTACCAGATTGCCCACAGTTAGCATTCTGGAGAACCCAGGATGTATAGGGTAGTGTTCCATAGACATAAATAACGTGTTGAGAACAATGCAGATGGTGATGGTTAGGTCAGTGAATGGGTCCATCACAATCACTTTAACTGCATTCTTGATTTTCAGCCATTTTGGACAACACTCCCAGATGAGGAATGTGTGAGCAAAATTGTACCAACAAGGAGGACACTTCTGTCTTGAGTCCTCAAGCTCTGATTGCAAAGCACATAAAAATGTCACATGACCTAGAAATGATCTTTTAATATGTAAAGGCATGATCAGTTTTCTGATGTAGAAGACATACCTTCCATGGTGGTTATGACACTAGCTATACTTTGTGCTCTCTGTCTAAACTCTGGGGAATCGAGGAAATCCATGAACTCGCCACCTGGTCCTCCAGTGGACTGTCTGAATTCCATGTCAGTGGTGTCCCCCTGGGCATAGAAATGCTTGTTACACATGCAACTGTATGTTGTAGGTTACAATGTATAAACTTAACACAAGCAACACGAATCAGTATCAGTATCTTATATATGATATTAAGGACATTGTGAAAGAAAAGCTCACTACTTCTAAAAGATCAACAAAAGTGTAAAAGACACATAATGTTTGATGCTATGAACAGTCGTGTGAAACAGACTGAATATTGATGTCATTCTGATTAGGCCTGATTTTGTGTGAAGGACAAGAAAGAAATTAATTGACAACTAATAATATATTTTGAGAAATATACATAACTTATAATTTGATTTTGATTCTTGATGCTGAACCCCTATGTCACACCGCAGAGACTTGACTTCAACCAGAAATTCATGATATATGTCTTTTTGACTGATTCAGAGCAAGATTATGAAGACCATTCCTAAGGTTTAAAGTTACCGTTTTTATCGTTTACCAGTACTGAAGCCTGGAATTACTGAGCTGCTGGATCACCCTAATGTGCTAAAAGTTTAAACAAGATGTTTTTTGGAGATTGTGCTGGATAAATCCACATAAAGGACAATGCACAGTGACAATGATGTTCTACCAGCCTCCAGTTCAACTAAAACAAGCACACAGATAGGTCTTCTCTAATTTATGATATTCCAAAAAAATTCCTTTATAAATTTAAGTTGAGTTTCTTTTTTTAGACGTCCTCTAAGCAAAGCAACGTTTCTTGACTAAAAAGGAAACTTAAAGCTTTTAAATAAAGTTCCTTCTCGAATATAAACTGAGTTCCTTCAATTTTGCCATTTCATTGGCAGTTCATCAGCCCAGCCAGTCCTGTTAAGACACCCCAATTTTTTTTTTTGCATAGAGGAGCTGGATTAAACCAAAATAAGTTTTAGTTTAGAGGTCTTTTGAAATAAAACAAAACAAAACCTTGTAACGTCTACATCAAATCTTACCATGTACTGATTAAGATAATTGACAAAGATATTATATGTATACTTTAGTATTACTCACACTGTATAAACTTTAGTATAAACTTTTAAACTGACATTTTTAGCCTCGTTACCCTGCACAGTTCATCCTGATAGAAATGAAAAAATGTTTGCCCAGCTTTGGAAAATAATAATGCAAAGTGTGAAATTTGTGTAGTGTATAGATGTTCAAATGTGAGAGCCTCTACATGACTGCTCTGAACAAAAAGGTTGGGGCAGCTGGGGTAGGGAAGCATTTCTTACATTGTCCCCGGTGGAGGCCATATCTACCATCACTTTGGGCAGACGGAGCCCCACAGGGGGTGATGATATTAGTGAATTCCCATCCACCAGAGACACAACCCCATTGAAGTCTACAGAGCTGTGCCTTATCCCATTGTGTTGAATTAGGAAATGTGGCAAGAAACTGCACTGGCTCATACTGCTGCTCCTTCGATCGCACCTCTGGGGATGGAAGAGGGATCCCCTCTGACTCAGGCTGTCCTCAAAAATGCTGTTTTCATCATCTGCAAACTCATTTTCTGAGCCCACATCCGGGGTTTGGCTTTGGACACTGAAAAGGCTGGTCTTGCTGTTTCGTCTGGATGAGAGCAGGGGTCCACGAAAACTCAGAAAAGACTGGGAGAAAAAGATATTCTCCAATGATAAATGCTAATTATGCGGAGGAAGGAAAACCGATGACAACGATCTTCGTACGTACAAACAAAAAGGAGAAAATGTTGCGAGGAGCTGTATGAGCATGAAGATGGACATGATAAGACAACTTAAATATACAGAGTGGTGATGAGTAAGAACAGTAAAGATGATGATCATAATGATGATCATGATGAAGAAGAAAAGGATGATTATGATGGCCATTTATGTGATAAGTATGAGGTTAAAATGACACAATGAAAAATATCCTGATAGTTGTTGACAGTGACAACAATGGGATTTGATGAGAAAGATGATGATAATGAAGATCAAGATGATATGAAAATGGCAAAAATCTGTTTTGAACTCTGGAAAGGTAAGAAAACTGAACAAAAGAAACGATGAAAATTGAACAAATCTAAATAAATGTGCCATTCGAATAACTAAGTCAAAGCTTAGTATTCCGGTGTTGGAAGTTTTATTTCTACTGCCTTTTTATTCATTATTAACACACAGAGAAAAGACATTTGCAGCTCTATGAAAATAATCAGCCTTAACAGGCTAGAGTTTGATTTAATATAGTAAAATCATGATTTTGTGGCATATGGAAGAGGCATGCAATACAAGAGAATAAAAAGAGACACTGAATGTTTTTTTTGTCATTCTGATCATTAAATTATTCGCTATAAATATACAGTTTAATTGATGACTAAAATACATGAAACTGTAAATGGGTGTAAGATTCGAAGTGTATGACCATAAAAAAAAGAAAAAACGTACTAAGTTAAGAAAATGTATCACAAAATAAGGTATTTTGTAAAATGCCTGAATATAAAAAAAGTATAAAGAGCCATAAATAGCTAATGTTTAGGTTATCTTTAAAAAGAAATCTAACAAACGATAACTTTCATGGTCAAAAAATGATGACAGATGTTACTGCACCTGATGGGTGGACGAGCATTTCATGTCATAGTTGAGCGGATTTCCATCCACGGAGAAGCGGAAGCGACCCTTCTTTACACTGTCCATAGAAACGGATTTAGGCATCTTTCCAGATCCCTTCCCCTCCTCCTCCTTTCTTTTTCTTCTCCTGTTGCGTCTCTCTTTGGCACTTTTCGAGCTAAGTTTCGAAGCGTCAGAGGAACTTTCAGTACCCCCACATTTGTCCCCCACCTCTCCACTCTCTGTCGCAGCTGCACTGGCTATCACCTTGTTAGGAGAATACAAAACACACCATGAAACAAACAAGGTACACTCATAGTCATGCAGAGGATAACACTTAATAGAGAATCATTAACCATCTTAAACATGGCTGAGTCATACAAAATTACTGAACATCTCATTTAACACATAAACGCATTGCAGAAAAAGTTTCTGAACTCTAACCTTTAGGAAAGACAGGATATTGTGTTGTTTGCAAGTGATGAGAACAGATTTGTTTCTATAATCACTAAACAATTTGCATAGATTGTTGTGGTAATGGCGTGAACAAGTATCCATTTCTACATACCTACATTTTTGTTACTATTGTACTCAGCAACATACCTGAGCGTCCTCTTGCTGTCGTTTGAGCTGCTCTAGTGCGGCCTGGAATTCCTCCTCCTTTTCCTTAGCTTCCTGCATGCTGGCCTTGCTCTGTTCCTCATAGGCCATAGCAACTACAGCTAAGATTAGATTGATCAAATAGAAGGAACCAAGGAAGATCACCAAGACAAAAAAGACCATGTAGGGCTTCCCAGATGCTCTCAGAGTCTGGAAAAAACATACATAAGCTTTTTATGTATTTGTTCCTTAACAATATATTTTGTTCCATATTGTGGACAAGAAACATTGGCATCAAAGAGACCTTACTGATACCAGCATGTATTCTCACCCTATGGTGAGCTGTTTGCTTTGCTATTCCTATTCACTGAACATCAATATAGCTTTTTACACACTATTCATGGCATGTTTACCCGAGCAGGACTGAAGGTCCTCATTTTTCCTCTGATGCACCTGCACTGTTTTTAAAGTTTATTTGAACAGGGTGCATTGTAGGTCACCTTTACTGAAATAATGCCTATCCCTCTTTGATAGAGTAAGCCCCACCTGTTGGTCCCTTAGAGAAGCATTCATCCAAATATATATATATGCATATGTTTATATATAAGTTTATATATATATATACAAATGTATGTGAGTAATGTTTTTCTTTGCATTTTACCTTTTCTAATCCCTACCTGCTGGTAAAGATTTTCCCAATAGTCCTGTGTCATCAGTCTAAAGAGGGAAAGGAAGGCCCATCCAAAGGAGTCAAAGCTAGTGTAACCATAGTCTGGGTTTTTTCCTATTCTGATGCACGAATATCCTTCCGGACACTGCCTGCAGGAAACAGAGTCTGTTACTCTCATAAACATTAAGCCATTTTGTTAATACTTCAGCGGTAACCGATAACCAGTATTCAGCTGCCTTTGGGCATCTGGCTTACCCAGCTGCACTGCTGTTGCCACAAAGCAGTGGATCTCGTTTGTCTGGGAGGTAATAATGATTTTCTAAATGAGAAAATTAGGGGAAACATTAGTATTAATATTTGTGAAAAGGACTGTAGCTGTAAGTAGTATTTCTTAAGAGCACATGACTAAAATACTAATTTTAACAAGAAAAGGTCTATAGTGCATGACATTAAATGGAATGTGTAGAAGGTCATCTTTATGAAAAATGTATAATTTGAATAAAGTAATAAAGTAATAAAGTTTTTATTAATTAGGTTTGAGAGGTGTCAATTTCTTTCTAAAATCGTTTGTTGTCAAAATGACTTTAATCTCCAGCCCTATTGTCTATGATATACACAGAGTTTATTGAATCTGAACTTTACCTCCACCAGCTACCATCATAGTTACTCAATTTAAATTTAGATTCACTAGTGAATAATAAATGCATGTTTGTGGGACAATGTGTAACAGTTTTAAATGGCACACCACTGTGAATCTACTTAAAGTAAAGCTAATACAGCAGTTTCTATACACTTCTTTAAAGATACAATGTGTTAATCAAGGACACCAAAGATGAACAGTATTTTTTCTTCTAGATACTTAGTGATTTAAAAAGATGGACCTATTGAGATCCATTGCTTCTTGAGCTTCTTGATGTATAAGACCATAATTCACCAAATGGGCAAAATAATGTAAATAGGGTATAAAAAAATAAACATGAGTTTTGCCTGAGGGTCTTAAGATTGAATGTTCATATAAAATATATCTGAATTGGTTCAATTTCATATGGTCTTTAAGACAGTTACAACAGTTAAAACATCCTGTGCTCTGAATTTTATAGTTTGGACAAATTTCACATTTGTCCCCATCAAAGGTAAATTTAAAAGAAAATCAAGTGCTCACCCTTGTTCAGTGCATATTCAGTCCAATTGAATTGGCTTGCCTGGCTGATCTGTTGGTCTGTTCCATTCGTATAGGCCATTTTGTCAGATGTATAATTGGCTGTGTCATTTTTTGGCATCCATATGCACTTATTCTGTAAATGGCCCATAAACAGCTGTAATCCCACAAGTGCAAAGACGCTCAAGCAGAAAACAGTGAGGATCATCACATCTGCAAGCTTCTTCACTGACTGAAAAAGTGCACCAACAATGGTCTTGAGGCCTGGGAAGCAGAAAAGCAAATGTCAACTGTGTTGTGGCTCCTGACGCTTACCATTTGGTTTAAACTGAACCTCTACTATCTACATATTAGTCTAAACAGTCACAATCGGGTTTTCTTTGTTTAGTACCTATTAAAAAAACAAAAAGCAAAGAAAAGCGTCTTTCTATTTTAACCAATACTTTCCAACTTTTAGAGAATACTGTGGTAGCAATTCATTCCATTAAGGGATATATAAAAACTGTAGGAATTTACGTAAGTTTGGATATTTTTGCCTTTTCATATGCAATCGCTATGACCTTTACATCTAATTTCATTACTTCACTATTGAGCTTCACCAGCTAGCATCTTAAACTATTGAATTGCTCTGTCTGTCTCTCAGGTTGTAAGTCTCTATGGGCAGATAAAAGCTGCAAATGCAGATAGGACACAGAGAAGTAAGGGAAAGGTGGAGGAATTGTTGAGTTTGTTAACAACAGATGATCTAATCTTGGATCTGTCATGGAGATGAGTATCTCTGCATCTAGGATGGGCAACTGTTAGCTGTGAATTGTCATCTATGTTTACAGAAAGAGTTTACCTGAATCGCCAAGTTACAAAAACAACACTCCAATCCATTAATGACAATATTTGAAGATTTCAACCCCAGGTCTCTCTCTTCCACTTAAAGATTACATTTAGCATGAAAAGTGGAGACAGTAAATCTGAATCTTATAAATATAAAACTACTTGGACACAACGTCAGGACATGACTGTCGGAGGAACAAGCACCTAAACTGTAAACCACTTATAAACAATGGAGGGAAAACAGTAAGCTATGGTTGCTCTGCAGACGGAGAAAAGCAAAAGTCACAAATCTCTCAGAACAATTCAAACAAAACCATCAGTTTTCCTACTGATCCTACAGTTAATGATTTCACAGATTAAATCTGGGAATTAAACCAAGTTACAATAAATCTTAAAACATTAAAGTTGAATTACTATTCATCTCAGATAAGCATGATGGTGATAAGGATATACATGCTTGTCCAACTCACCTGGGATAACGGAAATGGCTTTGAACGCTCTTAAAACTCTGAATATGCGCAGAGCTGACAGTTTTCCAATTGGAAAAAATTCAGTCATATACCTGCAAGCAAGATGGATTTGATATTTTTTCAAAACGATACAGTCAACAACTGATCAAATAATTTATCGCTATAGGTGAGGAAATCACTTTAAGGCAGGATTTTACACTTGAACAGGTAAAGTGGAAATAATAATGAGAGACTGGAATATTTTGTCAACAAAATTCTATTAACAAGACTGATTATCATATTCATTGATATTTTCTAATCAAGAAAGGTCTTGTGAATTATCTTTTTGTATGGAGAACTAGTTTTAAACAAAACATATTGATTTGTCTATTTGTTTGCAACAAATGAACCGTAGAAGTGACAAAAAAGTACTGAGAGACGTTTTGAGTCACTCATTTTTGGGGTTTTTCTTGACAGTTACTAAAATACAGACTTTCTGAGGTCCAAAAGAAGGTTTTTGATTTGCCAAAATTTAAAAATGAAGTCTATTCATGAAACGTATAATGAATGCAATAATCGTGTTACATTTAAATAATTTTGAAATGTAAATGTTTTAGTGATATGTTGTACTCACGCCATGATAATGACACAGAAATCCAGCCAGTTCCAGGGATCTCTTAGAAATGTGAACTTTCCTATACAGAATCCCCGAGCTAAAATCTTAACTAGAGATTCAAATGTATATATTGCAGTGAATATGTACCTGTTGAAAAAATGAAAATCACAACTGTTATAAAATCTGTGCTAAATGATAAAGCATGTATTTTCTGATGTGCAACTAAACTCACTCCAGGTTCTTTGCCCAGCTAGGCATTTCATGCCTGGTCATTAATACACAATTGGTGATGATAGTGCACATGATCACCGCGGTGAATAATTTGCAGGAGGTTGTCAAGGAAGGCAACAATTTGTGCTATGGAATAAAACTTTTCTTGTGTCATGTTACATGCAATCCCATGCAAACATTTGTGTATCCCTTTTAAAACCTGCTAACAAATAACTAGTTAAGACTATGGATGTATCAAAGTAATAGCTTTCCAGTCAAAGTAACTTTAAATCCACAGATGTCCATAAAGTAGGTAAAGTAGACGCCAAAGTATATATTTTGTGTGGAGTACAATTAAAGTCATTAAAGGGTCAAAGAGACTCTGTAGTGGTGGTGAATTGTTGTCCTGATGGTAGACCCACGGCTTTACAGCCAGCAGAATAAGTTTTAAGCTACTGAATTCTGGAGGTAAATATCATATAATCAAAAAACACAAAGCTGAAGAATGAGGGAGATTAGTGTCACCTCAGACTATGGACATCTTTCAAAAGATGTAAATTGAAAAATCTGTCTTGGACTTTAAAGTCAAAGCCAAAACTCTGTAAAGAGCGGTCCATGCAACACTACCCAGAAATCATATAGTAACCAAACCAGAGGGAATTAACAAAAATCTACGGACAAAGATTGGAAAGGTTCAAAGCTTGCTTAAGATTTCAAAGCAGCAACACTAAAGCAGGTATTAATTTAGCTAAGCGTGCAGGGTGTCAAAACCATACTTTTTCAACATTTTAAATGTTATTTGATACTTTGAATCCGTCTAACACCACCAAACAAATGTGTAATCTTCAACTTTACGCCTTTTTTAGAGCAGGGTTTAATTTTGTCATTTAACTACTGACATTAAAAGTGTCCTGACTTGAATTTTCCAAGTCAGTGTGTCTGGATGCATGTAAACAACTTTGTCTGGACTCAGCATAAAACATAAAGTGCATTCATGCCAAAAACATTTTGCTGAAAGGATATTTGTGAACCAGAATCTTGATTGATATTCTTCTCAGAAGATTGAAGGGGGTCAGGAGGTACAAGGAAGGAGCAGCATTGAAGCGAAAAATGTTCTTCCCTTTGTTTAACACTATAAAGGTCTGTAAAGTAAAGAGATTTTATTTACACAAAATTATTTAAACAAATGAAAAGTTTTTTCTTGCACATGCACTGCAACAAACAATTCTTCCACAAATAAGCCAGAGAAGAAGCATCTTTGTCATCATTGTCTTTGTCAGATGAACCACACATTGCACTTTACCCTACCGGCTCTCCAGTGGAAACCGTGTGTAATGTCATACTGTGCACACGAGAGAATAAAGTGGATAATAATCCAGGGCATTTACAGTTAGTGTGTGGGCGTGCTGATGAAGCCTGCTGCTTCCCACTCTTTCCTCTTGCTGTGTGTTTTCTTTTGAATCTTTTTTTAGCATTACGTCTTCATCATACAGTAATCATTAAAAAAATTCAAAAGGAGACCATCCTTTAAGGCAAGGTAGTGTCATCACAAAGCAAATTTTCCAAAGCATACTGAAACATGGCCTGTTTCATTTGTGCTACCCAGCCACACCAGAATAGTATGTTCACTTGTGAGACCATGTGTCACTACACCAGTCTTTTCTTGTCTGATGTGAGGAGTCAAGCAAGCAACATTAAGGCTTGATCCTAGTCATGCTGCCTTGAGTTTAAACGTGAAAACAAAGAATAATTTGTCCACACATTACAGCATTCAAAGATTTGTAATTAGGTTATCTGCACTTTGAGCCCCTTGCTTAATTATGATACCTCTGTGTATCTGTTCAATAAAGGATCCTTTTTCAGCAGCTCTCTTCTCTGGACTCTTTAACAACAGCAAACCACAAATCATGTTTATACATTTAAATACTTTTGAGGAATAGTCTCAGTACATCATGTCATAAGTAGTTTTGTGATAATGAATGAAGAAACTAATGGACAACTCCTTATGAAAAGAATGGATCCGACAATGCATGCTACTGTATCAAAGGTTTTTGACCAACGTTTAGAATAAAAGGTTTGCATTTGAGTGAAAAAAAGCGTACTTTCTGATTATAGTAGTAGGGGTCCAGGTCCTCCAGCGGTGTCGACACCATGGCGTTAGGAATGTCCCCATAGACAAGAGGGAGGGACTTGCCCACCTCCAGATCACTACTTGGCTTGAGCTTATTCTCATCATCACGCTTTTTCTTCTCTCCCTTGGGCTTCCTGGCATTCTCCTCAGAAATCCGTTTCTCGATGGCTTTGAGAGACTCTGGAGTGAAACGGTGGAAGCAATCTGGACCTGGTGGTAGAAGCGGTTGTGCCATCTTTTCATCCTGCAACTTCAGAGTGAACACCTAGTCTCCAACGCGAGAAAGGCCTGAGGGGTCAAGATGGAGAAAAACAAGCTGAGGGCATTTGATATTTTTATTAGTCTTATATCAAATGAAGCGATGACACAATATTGGCCATCTCCCAACAGACAATTTGCTTCGAAATAGAAAGGAAAAGAAAGTAAGAAATTGTATGCTCTTTGGTCAGAGATCACTAGCTCAGGGAAGCTAGAAGAGGTCTACAGATGGCTGTCATACACATAAATTCCCTTCAAGTGTGATAAAATTAGACCTAATTATCTGCTCATCTGCAGATAAAATTAAAATTTGACATGACAATGATCAATTCCAGGTGAGATTCTCACTCCCCTCCACCATCCCTCAAAATGGAATGAGTCTTTCTCCCTCAGAGCCTGACAAAGAGCAGAGAGAAGAAAAGATCCATCCTACTAATAGGCCTGACTGGTAGGATGTGTTAGGAAGACCTATGCTGTATTAAATATGAATGCACCACAGACAGCACTGCATATGCCTGCCACAGAGACCTAGAATAAAACAGTGTGATACAATACACTCCCACAGTGTGTTGTGATCAATCACAAAGCAAAAGTCAAACACACTGGTCAATCAACTGCCCTTAGTTGTGCTTGTGTGATGTAACTGCAACAATAAAGTGAGACACAGCAATGATAAGAAGGAAAAAAACGGGGGTTAAATATACGCAAAATCTGCGTTCATGATTGATAATATAATGTGTGATGTAGGAATACAGCAGGACTTTAAAACCATCACATACTTGCTGTCTTAATGAATCCTACATAAGTACAAAATGTAGCCTCTTATTTTCAGGATAAGCGATAAACACATCAAACTAATTCAGTATTAACATTACCACAACATTCTCTGTTTTCATTTTTGCTCAGAGGTGGTCACTTTACACGCAGCAGACCAATGGCTACACTACTGGGCTAGTCAAATGCCGTGCACAAGACCTTTGCAAGTCCAAAGAGGGGTTGCAAATATCTGTGCATGCAGGATTCATGTCATGCAAATATATGTTTCTCCTGCTTCGTTATTCTTAGAATCTCCACAGGAATTTCGAGAATTCAACAACTGTTATACAGTCATAATAAATCATGTTATAGATCTTTGAATGTATCTGTAACATCCAAAGGTCCAGATCCTGAAGCAAAGTATTACACTGAAACCTTTATTCTGTCTCAGGACAAATAACCTAATGCATGTTATTAGCTCTGTATGGATTTTGGTGATTGGTGAATGAGTGGTACTCTCATTTGAGGATAAAAACAAACAAATATTTGAACATTGAACAAGTAAAGACGGAAATGTAATATTTGATTTCATGATTATTTCGAGAAGCCTTTTTTCTGACCCTGAGGTGACTGTGTATCCCGGCTCTTGCCTAATGACAGCTGGGATAGGCTTGTCACACCTGACAAGCAAAAACACTCAAACTTCCCAGCAAGTTAAATCTGGACTTTTGGGGGACAGACATGTTTGCAAAAACAGAAAGTAAAAAAAACAACAAATGTTTCAACTGAATGGAGAACTTTCAAATGATCCCACAAGGTCAACCTACCGTTGGTAACATCTACAGAGGTATGCATCACGCTGTCAATCCGTTCCCAACTCATTACACATAACTTGAGATATGAACTGCCACTTTGAAGCTTCAAATAGGCGCACTTCAATTTATCTCTAACCTGTCTGCATCATGACCTTATGGCGACCAAAGTGACGCAAACATGTCTGTCCTTACCAACTTTTGTCAAAACAGAGTGCCATTAAATGACTGCGATTCTGACGTTATGCTTCGTACATTTAACTGCCTTGATGAAGTGCCTCAAGTGATCGCACTGGCTTTAGGCCACAGGGTCAAACAGAAGCTGAATTTCAATTATTCATGTGCATCACTCATATCAACGTGAAAAGATTTGACCTCAGAATGTTTTTTTGTGCTTGTATGATGTCAGAATGCACTGTGATAGACTGCCATTATCAAACTGTCAAAGAAAAACCAGAAATACACGGCAATTAAAACCACTGTTGTTTCCTCAGATGAGACTACGTAATCTGACAAATTTATGCGAGTGACACAACTATCAAGTGTTCACGAAGGAGCTGAATCTGTCCTTAGAAATTCTTCATATATCTTGACTGATTGTTGATGAGGGTTCACATATTTATCAAGAGATGCAGGCTTGATTAAATCTAAACTACAGTTTAAAAAAAGATGTAGAGTACAAAGCATTCAAAGGAATCATATTTATACTATTTTCAAACCAAACTTTATCTTTAAGATGCTGTCTTTTTAAAAAACAGTGGGACCTTACAAGTGGTTACATGTTTGAGTGTGAGTGTGATGAGGTTTCTTTTCTAGTGAAATTATATCAATGAATAATAGGGGGATCACTTGATCATATACTAGTGGAAGAAGCATCAAGTGCAATGGCCTGCTATAGCCATTCGACTATTGCTTTAAGACCAATTTTAAGACTGATGGACTCAACTGTGTCCATTAGCTTTATATGTTTTTTTTTGTGGGAAGGTAAGGTTACTGGGAAGCATCACTAAAGAACTCAGTTTGAGTTTGGTCCACTCATGTATGGTTGCTCAGACATAACACAGATGAGCCACAGCGATGATTCTCATATGACCGAGAAAACATGTTATTTCAACCTGAATATATATGCATACAGACTGATGACAATCCAATTCCTGCGGGCTCCTCAGGGAGGAAAACACTCAACGCCCTTAAGTGCTCACATCTCATACTTGCTGCTTCCTCATGCCAAGTACAGATACACAACTCAGTGCTACTCCTTCAGGGCGTTGGCAAAAGAGCTGATGACGAGTGGTTGTTCACATCATTTCATATTCAATTAATGTTTCAAATGTAAGATGACAGGCTACACACTTTCTACATTCCGGATAGAAGACAGGACAGTCAGATCTCTAATTGACAGCAATCTAATAATGCTGTTGATGGTCAGGCAAGCAGGAAGTCATCTAAGATGGAGTGTGGGCTAATAATTGCTGCCATGCCCATTAACTTCTGTAATGTATTGGGGACCGCAATTTACTGTCTAGTTTTTGCTCAAATTGCAACAAGAGATCAATCACATTTTCCCATACAGCCTTTAAAACACAAATCAAACATCTCTCTTTCTACATGTAAATATGTATACATATCTTGGAAATTCTTAAGAACACAGAGAATATAAATATCCCTAAAATGTTTGTATTCAGATATGTGCAGATAGATAGATAGATAGATAGATAGATAGATAGATAGATAGATAGATAGATAGATAGATAGATAGATAGATAGATAGATAGATAGATAGATAGATAGATAGATAGATAGATAGATATATTGATTAACTTTTTTCCATTACAAACTTTCATTATTACCATGCAGGTAGGAGTAAAACAATATTTCAGTCGATTTAAATTTCCCAACCACTACTTTTGGACACTCATGTTAACTCACCATCAGTTTTCCATCCTCGACAAATAAACACAAGTCGAAAGAATGGCGTGAAACAACCTCAGCACGTGAAAAAACGTTGCTCTGTAGATGTGTTGAAGGTATCTGCGGCTTCTCCCTGAGCAGAGCGACTCATTTCCAAAATCTCCGCAGGAAAAGCCTTGAAGAAGAGTGCGTCCGCCCCTTGGAGCGGCAGAGCGGCGGACTGCTGCGCTTCCGGCTCTTCTTGGGTACCAAAGTGAGAGCAGTGGAGCAACAGAAGCTTTTTTTCTCCCGCTAATATTGTGGTCACAGTGCGTTGTTGTCGAGAATTGGATGTTAGTTTTTCTAGTACCAGAAACTAAAAGCCAAAACCACAGGAAATGATTTAACTGACTTTGAAAGTCTCTTTTTTCTGTGAACTCTGCGCCTGAGTGGGCCCAGACTGTTCTCCCATACAAGCACTAAAGTCGCTAATGAAACTGTCCCTTATGCCTCTATGTGTATGACTGTACTGGAGTTTTTATTTATATTTGGGTATCTAGTTTGTAAAGTTCGGGTGTTGCGTTGACGTTGAGCCAGGGCTCACAAAATGCAAGTTTGATGCCCTCTGTTGGATCCAGATTGCAATGCATGAAGAAATGCGGTGGCTTTAAACATCAGAGTTCAGAAAGTCAACTTTTTCACCATTTTATTAATCGATTAATATAGGAATAGATCAAGCATCGAGTTGTAGATTTCCCAAAAAGCAAAGTTGGCCTAATAATAAACAAGCAGAGAATTAGTATACACATAGGGGTAGATACAATTCAACAGAATCAAACCGAGGCTGTTTGAAAATATATGTGTTAACAGATAAAGAAAATACATTAACTTAGAAAATAAACAGTGAGACAGTGTTTATTTGTTGGTTTCCTGCATGCAACAAAAAAAGGGTCTGTTTGTTCGGCAGCTTACAGCTTATCCCTGACATAAATCCTTTAATGCCATATTTTATTCTGCAAGTTGATAAGGTACCAAAACGGAAGCTCACTCTAACAGAAGAAAAAGATCTGACAAGAGTTCATGTTGGTAAGTTGCAATACGAGTCAAAGTCAGTGTTCTCACAGCTTTAATTTGACCAGGTTTAGTGTAGTTTAGGACTATAACCAAAGCGTGGCGCTGTGCGGACTCTTTTTCTTGTTCTTTCTTATTTCCTTTCTTTTTTCCCACCAGACCAAAGGTGATGTGAACTAAACTTGACTGAAACTGACAGAGATTTCCAAAAGCCTTGCCTAATGCGAGTCCCGGCTGAGATCCGTGAAGCGCACACTGAGACTGGAGGCACCGACAACCCACCACCCGGTGCTCCAAAATGGCTCAGCAGGTATGTGCCGAGCTGCCGTCTGAAGAACAGTCCGAAAAAACACTCCTTTCACTGCCTTCTGTCGTTTTCAGTCAATCACTGAAGAAGGGACATCGTTAATTCTCCCCACAAAAGCGCCCCGGGAGCCCAGAAGCTCCATGTTATCTGCGTGTTTCAACTTCATCAACTCCATCATAGGATCTGGGATCATAGGTAAGACGTCTTTACGACAGCCCTCCAATAAGTGCGATCAGTTAGGACGATAACTATCTTTATTCATTTCAAAGTCCAAACTTTTAGAGAAGTTTTGTGCAATAAGAAGTTGCTATAGTTGATATTGGTACAACAAAGGGGCAGCTTTCATTCAGGCTGCAGCAGCAGCATCATATGACCAGCGCCTGCTGCCCCCAGCTGCCTCAAACCTTTAACCCCTGCTGTTCACAATGTTCATGCTCCACATCCAGGTTTTGTGGACATCACACTTATTAGAAAAGACAAATGAAGTTTAACCATTTGAAGCCTAATCACTTGGTTCAGGCCTGTCATCTCCAGCTGAGGTCCAACCTGCACTGTGCTTTTTTAAACCAGGTTTGCCATATGCATTGAACCAGGCGGGGCTCCCCTTTGGCCTTCTTCTTTTGATCATTGTTGGGGTCATCACAGGTGGGTTTCCTGTTAGAAGATGTGAGTTCGTCAATTCAGAAATAAACAATCATCAACACAAATAATTCTCGTTTGTGATTTTCACAACAGACTACTCAATCATTCTTCTGATAAAAGGAGGAAACCTGTCGGGATCAAATAGTTATCAGTCACTGGTACAAAACACATTTGGCTTCCCTGGATTTCTGATTTTGTCTGTGCTGCAGTTCCTTTATCCTTTCATTGGTAAGTTGTCTCACAAATGAGGCCGACATGAAATTAAGTATTAAACCATGCTGTTTTGCTATTATGTTTTATTTCCCGTGTGGTCTAAAAAGCAGTCCTTCTTTTTCTCCTTTGCCTATACTACCAAAAAATAATAAAATACTTGTGATTACTTTTATTAAGAAAACACTTCAATTCATTCAATTTATTCTTCTTCTTCAGCCATGATCAGCTACAACATTACAACTGGTGACACACTGACCAAGGTTTTTCAGAGAATACCAGGAGGTAGGAGCAAAACCGTGTTCATTTGTGGCCCAGCATTCCTGATACTGCACATATGATCATAACAATGATCCTGTCTGTGGGATGTGTTGGCTTGTGATGTTTTGCAGTTGGTCCAGATCACATACTTGCAGAGCGGCACTTTGTGATATTGCTGTGTACATTTCTCTTCACGCTGCCGCTCTCACTTTATCGAAACATAGAGAAACTTGGGCGGGTGAGGCTGATTGTAGTAGAACTGTTTGTGTGAGCTACTGATGGTCATGCTGTCTGTAACACATCCCAATGTGTTAACCAGGTGTCCTTCCTGTCAATGGTGCTGACCCTTGCCATCCTTGTCATTGTAATCATCAGAGCAGCCACGCTTGGACCCCACATGTAAGAATGACTATTAAATAAATCTATTCTTAATTCATTCTTAATCTATTAAATATTGACATACATGTTTCTATATGTGATAACTTAATCTAAATGTAAATTTTTAGCCTCCCAACAGAGGATGCATGGGCATTTGCAAAGTGGAATGCTATTCAGGCAGTTGGTGTAATGTCTTTTGGTGAGTTTTCCTGCACGGTTTAGATACAGGAAACAGTTAAACAGAATGGAATATGTTCACTGTTAGTCATTATAGATAGCCACTGCCTTAGCAAATGAAACTTAAAAGTGCACAATGCAATCGATAAAATATAAATCTCAGATCAAGATGTTGTTGCCTGCTATCAGAGAGGCGTTTTTTTCTTCCCAAGACACTTAAATGGAAACAGCCAATGTCACAAATAAATAGATGTTCTCTTGCTTTCAGGAGAATACAGCATTGTTTTGAAGGAGTGGCTCACAGCACTGAAATGTATTATTTTGCACAACTTATTTTAATCCCAAGGGAAAACAAACAAACACCTGAAGCGGTTTTTACAGTGTCTCTTCTGCAAACTGAATTCTGATATTCTGTCAATTCCTGCCCCTTTAGCCTTCATATGCCACCACAACAGCTTTCTGATTTATGGCTCTCTGAAGCAGCCAACGCTAGCCAACTGGTCTCGGGTCACGCACATTTCTGTAGGCTCAGCTCTAATAATCAGCACCGCCTTTGCTGTTGCTGGCTACACAACCTTCACCGGCTACTCACAAGGTATTAACACAACATTTAGAGCAGTCATAGTTCTCCCAGTAGATCAGTTCATTTAAGCGCCCATTGTTATTTTAAGTAATGTTGACTTTTCAGGAGACATATTTGAAAACTACTGCAGAGATGATAACCTGGCAACTTTCGGTCGCTTCTGCTTTGGATTCAGCATAATAACCACATTTCCACTGGAATGTTTTGTTACACGAGAGGTTAGTGGAACTCTGATCTGTTAAGTTCTCTACTAATTTATGCTGTGGGTTTATATGAAGAGAATAACAGTCAAAACAAACAAATGCCACAGAGCTACTCAGTTAGAAAAACGACATCTGTTGCCTCTGTTTTCTCTAAGGGGTTTGTCCATCATCTTATTTCAGCTATCGAATTGAACCAATTTACTGTAAATACGTATATTTTCTTGTCAATTTCTTCAGGTTGTTTCGAATGTTTTTTACAGTCGCGATCTTACAAAAGCTGAGCATGCAGCCATCACCATGCTCATAGTCATAGTCTGTACATCCATTTCTTTGGCATATGACTGCCTCGGAGTCGTTCTGGAGCTGAATGTGAGTCAAATCTGACCTGCCAGTCCATTTCTAGATTTACAAGCTTGTTTAAGTATAAGCAAAGTCAATGCCTGAATTTGATTCTATTGTTCTCTGCCATCCAGGGTGCTCTGAGTGCCACCCCTCTGATCTTCATCTTTCCATCTGCGTGCTACCTCAAACTCTCCCCGGGCCGCTGGTTTCAGGGCGGAAACCTAATTCCCGTAATGCTGATGATAATTGGCCTGTTTTTCATGATCACTGGTCTGACCATGACGGGCCTCTACCATCTAGACTGCTCGCACGGCGAGGAGATGTTCTACTGTGCAGATAGAAACACATCTGGCACCGTGCCACCTGGATGAGAGAAAATGCTTTGGTGATATATATTTAGTTGTCTTAAATTTGCACTTCATTGCAACAGCGTGTTTATGTTTTATCACTTTTTTACTCTTGGTTTCCTGGAATACAGGCTCCTTTGCTTCATTTTAAGACCATTGTATGCTTTCAAAATTAGTGAAACTATTCGGAAAAGATCAGTCTGGCGTAATGAAATACTTCTGTTTTTCATTTGTTGTGAAAGCCTTTAAACTCTCCAAAGTCCCAGTGGATGAATTGCAAAGGCGACTAAGAGTCCGATAGCCCAGTAAAAATGTCTGACCTCTTTAAAGTTCAGGGGGTTGAATGTCTGTTGTCATAAAATCTTAAGCTGTATTTCCAGAGAAGAGGATGGGGAGCAACTTAGTATCACTCCTAGTGTTAGAATCAGATGTTCTGCATGTTCTCATGTATTGTAATGTCCAATTGACTCTTTTTAAGAAGTAGTAACAAGCTTGGATATGTAACACTGTGGATTAAACACAGGAGGGAAGCCCCCATGATATTTTTTGTTCACAACACAACACGGGGCTCAATATAAATGCCATTTGATAATAAAATGTTTAAAGATCATTTATATGTTTAGTTTTTTAACTCCAGTGTGTTTATTGTTTTTATCATTAAGAAAGCTATTTCAGATGTTCCGCTGTTATAACATAAAACTAAGTGAAATACTACTGAGATCATTTCCATTACTAGACTTGAAATATCTCAAGAACCTAAAACTGTACATAATCAGGAAGCATAATGAGATCCTTGTTTTTTTATTAATACGTTCAAATCCTACTGGTGTCAGTATGATTTAGAAAAATAGCACAATTTAGCAACGGGCGGCACAGTGATGTGGATGTGTGTCCTTGTGTGTTTCTGTGTGGCCCTGCGATGGACTGGCGGACCGTCCAGGGTGAACCCCGCCTCTCGCCCAGTGACTACTGGAATAGGCTCCAGTCCTCCCACTGCGACCCCATTGGAAAATAAGCGGTTCAGAAAATGGATGGATGGACAATTTAGCACATCGATAGGTATAATAGTCAAGAAAGTCACAAAGTGAAATTCAGTTGATTTATTATAAACAATCTTTTATCGTATTTCAGTGAAAATAAATTGCTAACTATGGCTTGTTATAGCTTTATAGCAGTATTTTTACCAATTCATGAGCTGATTGTACAACACTATGTCATTTAGATTATTTTAGAAAAAACTTCCTCATTCTGAAAACAGTGCAGACTGGCTTTGTGTTCATACATTTTTTTAATAGATTGATATATAACTTAGCATATAGATTTATTCCAGGGAATGATGCATTGCTTTATCACTTCTTCAATAAGTGGCCTAAATGAAATTGTCCACCCATAGTGGAAGGATTGTTGGTTTCCACATTCAGCCACATGATGTCAGTGTGGGCAAACACAAAGCAGAAAGGAAGTGGGAAAAATCAACACTGACTTGTTTAGAATAGTTAATTGTTATTTTTATTTGGTAGGAATGTGTTATCTTTAAGAATCAAGGTCGCAGTGACTTATTATTATGTGTTTTCCCCCCAAATAGCACTTGTGTTGGTTCCCAGATGCCTTCGGGGCTCTGATGAATGTGACGGCTCTGAGAAACGCCCCAGCCTTCACTGCGATGCAAACTGTCACACAAAAGTTGGCACAGTTAGGTGTCCCGCAGTGCCAAGACGGGAAATAATGCATATCTGATCATAAGGAGCTCAAAGGAAGGAGGGAAGTGGATAGACAACACACAGGAATGGTTTCGTAAGAGGCGTTAAACTTAATACTTCACAGAGACTTTCTATTGGAAGCCAAAGTCTGTTTGCTGCTGTCTGCACCCTCATGAACTCTGATGGAAGTGGACAACTGCTTTGAAAACCAAATTTATTCATGGTAAGTAACAAATGCGACAAGTCGAAGGTGTCATCTCCGTTGTCATGAAGGAAGAAACGGTTAACAAGACCGAGAAACGGATGACCTCATGTGGGATTCGCCCACATTTCGGTGTTTGCCCGTTTGTGTCACTGAAAAGCTGCAACTCAGAGCAGCTTTTGCAACGTTTAGTATGACAACCCTCACTGAAAATGAACTGTGCTTTTTGTTTGTGTTTGACTAGTGCGGGGGATTTTGTTAAGCCAATGAGTTTAGTCATGGATGATCATGGATCCCAGTCCCATCCGAGGAGCTCTAGTCAGAGGTATGTGCCACAGAACGGATCTGTAGAAAAACAGCTATAATGACTATGTTTTATTTGTTTTTTTACTTGGAACGGGAGTAATGATATTGTGGGACACACTTTCTGCAAATATTTATTTCCAACTTTTTTATTTAGATTTTTTTTTGCACACATATAAAACCATCTACCTGTGAGCTGGCTGAGGGCTGCTGGCAACAAACAGCATCACATCTCCAGCTGTCTAAGACATGAACAGAAAAGTGCCACCTTTGTCACGTAACGCATCCGCATCACCAACGTTCAGCTCACATTCCTCTCACTCACTACGTCTCAGCGGAGTCGCAGTTGTTGCAGACGTTTCGACCTCTGAACTCTCCTCATTTCCTGCTCTCAGAGTTTTACTGAGAAATTGCCTCCACCATATGTAGAGGGGTCATGGGAACTATTTTGTAGGCAAAACATTCTGCCTCCGTCCCTGTGATGAGGCTGATTGTTGTGGAAGTCCTGCCTTGTCTGAGGTTAAAACTAATATTCTGTTGTGCACTGATTCAATCTGATTCTATTTGTAAAATTGAAAAAGGGCTATTTGACTCAATGGAATTTCCCATCAGTTTTGGTCCATGGAGTTGGAGATGATGTCAACTGCTTGTATTCCAGTGGTTGGAATCATTAAAAATGGGTGAGTGAGTTTCCAGGGCTTTCTTACAGTCACTGCTCACTCTTTTGGCATTTGTAGGCAATCTGCCGAGATTTTGAGATTTTAAATCGAGGTGAGTGGAGACTTTGAGCACATGAAAGTTTCCAAGCTTGCGCTCATTTATAGTAGTGCAAAGTTTCCACTCGTGTCCCGAAACGCTGTCATTTCCCATTTGTAGAAATAAGATTCATGCACAGATCATTAAAAAAACGTTGGTGTGAGTTTTGTTCATATTTCATAAATATTGTGTAATCTGAGAGCACAGCCACGCTCCTTGGCAGGAGAGAGTAGCAGACTGCTCCAGCCTCTGTGGTTTTAGTATGATTTGAAAAAGCAAACCACACTCTTCCATATGCTGCCAGGGTGTGGTGGAAGACATATTCCCTCTCTTATTGCTGCCATCTTTTATTTGGGCTGAGTAAACCTGCTGATTATCCCTGTTTCAAATGCAGCCATAACCCCCACCCTAAAGCAGGGCTTCATTTGTTATCCAAATACAGACGCTGCCAGAAACACTTTGCTGGCTGTGTTTGAGCAAGGACGTTACTTGCATACAAGCACATGCATATCATTTCGCTTGTCTGTCTTAATCAGATCACAAAGTGGTGTTTCTTAATAGCTTTGAAGAGGGAGTTTTTTTTTCCAGTAAAAAAAGAATCACTGCCATAACTCTGCTAATTGTCCAGAACTGTTCATGTTTGCTCCTTCCCTCCAGCAGTGCAAGGCTCGACGCTCTCCCTGCTAATTGGACACACCTTAAACCATGATCTCACCAGGCAGGCTTTCTTCAGGGCAGAATGTGGAATTAGTTAAGGCATCGTGAATCCCACAGCTGTTTCAGGCAGTCCAACGGCACAGATGTTCACATGTGTGCACAGATGAAAATTATGGCGAGATTGACAGCTGAAGCTGAGATATTCCAAGAATTTGAGCATGTGGAGTTGAAGCACCGCAACCAAAGTCGACGTGAAAAGATCACATGGCCTGAACTGGGACTAAAGCGTATCACATTAGTCTCTCCTTGTAGTTACCCGCAGAAACACTAAGGCTGTCCTCATTTAGGATGATCTATTATCGGGCTGACGGGTCCCTGCTCTGAGAGAGAGCACGCTCTGATCTTCTGGGCTCAAAAGTAAAGAGTGTCATTCCAAAGCATTTACCTACCAGATGGAACAAAGTTAGAGGAAAATCTGCGTTAAAGCTCAAGCAGAAACAAGCAAATATGTATTTCTCATAATTTTCCTTGCCCTAGAAGTCTAGCTCAGACATAGTATAATAAAATTCAGAGAGTCAGGGAATAATGGGTCGTCTTTGTTGCCACTGTGAGGCCAACGCATTGACCATAAATACCACCGCATAGTTCTTTATGGTCAATCATGAATTATATTAAGGGCAGTTTGGATATAATACCTAATTTTTCTCTAATATAAACAGGCAAAAGAATGATCTATTTCACTAGCATTGATGTTGATCACAGCCTGTTGGAATGGATTCGGCGCTCAGGTCCTGATTGTATACAGGCTAAATAGACTGGAAGACTTGGCCCCTCTTTGTTTCTGTTATACACTTTTTCAGGCCATGACAGTTGAATGCCTCCCACTCTCAGCCTGTGTAACATTCACAATGACCTCACTTGAATTACTTCTTTGTGCGCTCTCAATAGGAAATTTTGCATATCTCCAATAACATTCAGACATTTCATGTGACAAAAGAACAGATTGCCTCAATTTGCTTGACCTTCATTATCTGTGTTTGTCTTGTTGAGATGAGATATTTACAGATAGAGGCCAGTCTGCCCTCACTGGCATTGCAGAGTTTCCCAATGATCTATTTAACAAGAAATGAAATGCTTTTTTTTTTTCAAATTCTACATCATAAATACAAGCTTGGACTAGTGTTTAGATATCAAGGGAAAGCTGATGTTGGAAATATGAAACTGCACACCATGACATGCTTCTCTAGATGGCACTGTCAGTGTTCCTGTATTTGTGATGTAGTTCTCAAACCAGTGGAGCATCCACATATTTTGTTGTGGCAAAGTTGGCCCCATTTTTTTTAAACTTCCGTAATAGCAGACTGCCAAAGATCAGATATAGTGAGCCTTATCAGTTCCTAATAAGGGGTAAAGAAAGCTTTAGTGAAACAGGCAGCCGTGGAAGTTTCAGCGAGGAGATTGGCACTGCCAGCGGGCATTAGTAAGTGAAAAAAGATGAGCTACTTTGTATTCAAGATACACACAGTTTGTCTGTCCAGCTGTTTTTCTTTAAGTTGCTGGCATCTGAGGTGATGTAACTGTTAATTTAATCTATTGCCATAGAATTTTTTAAGACTACAGGCTAAAGGAAATGTACTTCTCCTCAGATTTAGTAGAGGTCTGTTGTGTCTGCTTTGAGATTGTTTATGAGAAAATACACGGAATACTCATAGTTTACACTATTGTATTGACTCTTTAAAATGTAGAACCAGTTTGCGTGTCTTCCTTAGAAACCCCCAGTTCATGTGATCATCAAAAGATAAAACACATGCTGTTGTGCTGTTGAAAGATGCCCCACTGTGGACAATGCTGCATTGTGTCAGATGAAGGGACACAGTGTGATAGTTGTAATTATGCCCTCTAGGGACACTGTCTCTCTCGCTTAGTTATGTAATCTAAATGTTGGTCCCACTTTATGAAAAAAGAGACCACTGGAAATGACTGTACCTTATCCTCTCTGTGCAGTTTTAGCAGCCCAGTGTGGAGTTATTGTGTGTGCTGTAACTGGAAAAGAATTTCTGAAGACCCAAACAACCTGTTACATGTCCCCATTCTTGAGAATTGTATAAAAATGTGGGCAAACAGACACACAACATGCATTGTGTTTCTTATAATGTTTGGTTGCCTGTTTCTTTTTTTTTCTGTGCACAGCCGTAGGTTTGTTATGGTGCAATGTTTAGAGGGAAAATATTTGAACTGCATGAAGATAAGGTGAGGGTAATGTACCATGACAAACCCAGTTCAGTGGCCAGATTGATGTTGAGAAATCTCAATGAATGATCTCAAATTTTATAATCTAACTTGCTGAAAGATACACTGATCTGAAAACCCGCTGAACTTTGTCTTGAACACTTAATATGTTAACAGAAATGAGTTAAAATAGTGCAGTTATATAAGAGCTGATGTCTGGTAGTTCAGATATCTGTCAGTACTTCAGATATTGACGTTAGTGACAAATTTTTAGGGTTTGTGCAATAAAATGCTATGGGAAAAAGTACCAAAAGTTATAGTTTTTGTTTTCCCTGCACTAATAAATGACACACATAGGAGGTGGAAAATTCTCATAGTGTCCCTGTTCTCTTTCTCTCACTAATATCTTCTGATTCCACGTTGCTTATGAAGTAATGGCCTTTCCAGACCCTCTTTAAAAAGCTTGTGTTTACTGTGAGTGACCTCTCACCAGATTACCAGCTGCAGCTCAGATCCTGTTGGTATTCTCTCCTCAGCAACTGCGAAACCCGGCACTTTTTTTTTGTATAAGACCCATGAAATATATAGTACGGACAAAACTTGGACTTAAATGACACATGTGATATTATCATTAAATTGGAGGAGTGGTTGTGAGTAGGACCTTTATGTAGTTTTGTTACAAAGAGAGGGCCGCTAAGGATAAAAGCCAGAGGAGTTAAAGGCTCTGGGTGTTGTAAGGGAGGTTATTAGGTGAAAGCGGGGAGGTTTGGGAGATGGTTGCCAAATGCCAAGCAGTGGGTAACAGATGGTGGTCTCCCTGAGCCCTCAGTGGGAAGGGATAAATTCACATCTTGTTTATCAAATTGGCTGCAGGTCCAGTATGGGGGCAGTTTTTCTAGCATAAGGGTGTCGGCCCTCATCAGAGACCAGAGAGGAGGCTGATTTTGGCAGTTGATTAACTGAGTGGTCTTTGTCTTAGCATGTCTCTCTGCAGCCATCCACAGAGGTGAAACTCCCCTTCTTTAATTAAATGCTTTAGTGGCACTTTACTGACAGCTCGACTGTGAGGGAAGGCCAAACATTTGGTGGGGAGGGCGGACTGCAGGTGATTCATCCATCCAACCATCCATCCATTTTCTGTAAGGCTTATTCCCCGCGGGGTCGTGGGGGACTGAAGCCAACCGGCAAGAGACGGCGTACAGCCTAAACAAGCACACACACTCACATTCACAAGGGGCTATTTAGAGTGTCCAGTTAACCTAACATGTAGGTGTTTGGACAGTGGGAGGAAGAACAACTGACTATTAGTAGCAAACGGCCCTTTCAATAAAGCTATTAGTTTGAAACTGTATTTCAATATTAAAACGAGGGCGGATATCACCAAATGTTTAAGAGTTCAGGGCTTTGTTAAAGCCAGATTTTGAAATCTTGTTTAATTTTCTTGACATATGAGGATTTAATGGCCCATGAACATTTTAGGAATCTCTGACATAATTTTATTAATCAGTATCAGTATGTTTATTCATTTTAACAGCTGGGGGAAAATCTACTGACTAATCACTGTTTGTTTGTAGAAACATGGGTCTTGTAGTCCAGCTCTGTAACAGTACTACACTCATCCCAGTTAGGCTCAGAGTGCAGTGTGATTCTTCCTTTAGGTGGAAATCAGCAGCATTTCTTAACTTAAAGTAACATTCTGAACATGCCAGTTGCAAATAGACGCACTTTCATTTCACCATTGACATTATATAGCATTGCCGCAGCTTAGCAGTTTTACAGAATGGTGTTTTTGCTTTTTGGATTTTTTTTTGCTCTGTATAACTCTTCTCTCCCGCCTGCTGACATCTCCATCCCCTGGTTTTGTTAGATTTCACATTCTTAAGAGAAAGTGTAAAAGTGCTGATAAAGAATTGGCAACAAACACCTATTTCACAATGAAAAGACAGATTTATTGCTTCGGCACCAGTCTGAGGATGGTCCTCTGAAAAACCAAACATTGTTTTATGTTGCTTTTAACATGTAGTGTGAAATTGCATTGTTATCATTTTTTGCTTTATGATAGAGGCTAGATTTGGTCAGTTTGGTTGCAAAGCCTGTTGAATCTTAAAAAAGTTAAAGATGCATGTTGATTTTTATTGAATATTGTGTCCCTGTGTTTTAAATGGACCTAAATAGTGATCTGTAACGATCTGGAGCTGACAAATTTTGTTCCAGGTTTTCTGTAAACAATCTTTAATTGAATGATCAAAGCTCTTTGGTAGCAAGCTGATAGAATCTATCAGCTTGCTACCACAGAGGCAGCGCTCGGGTTATTTTGTTCTTTTGTTTGTCAAGAATTAACGTCATTATGGTTTCGCTCAACCCTTAAGTCCTCTAACGTGGTTTTAGAGTGAGTCAGTTCTGTGGAGGTGAGGTGTGGCCGGTTACCGTTGGCAGTGTATTTCATTATGAAAAGCAAACATAGGAGGACTACCTGATTACATTAGAGAGTGAGGATGAATTCTAAGATGGCTTTAACCATGTGAGGAGACAATAACTGGATCAGGAGTCCCTCTTGACATCCCTTGAATGTTTACACTGATAATTGCATCATTGCCGCATGAGTAGAAGAAAGGATCAAGCATGATCATACGTCAGATTAACCCCAGTCTTTATCTTAGAGCTGGAAGCCCACATGCTGCAGTGTGTGTGTCAGCGAACTGCTGCCCCGCTGGCCCCACCCTCAGGTTTATGTCTGCAAAGGGGGGCAAAGCTGCTTACCTTTCTGCTCATGACCCGGGGGGGAGAGCTGCCAGCTCACTGTACGCTGGAGCTTTAAGGGAGACACAGTCAGAGGGCCGGCCGGATTTCGGTAGAGGAGACAGATTTCTTATGTCACGGATTTGGGCGTGGCAATAAGGTGGGCCCTTCAAAGCTAAACTGTTAGTGTTTAGTCTGCCTGACTACTCATAGGAGAACACAGCAGAGTGGAAACGATGTGAACGGGGACGGTCTTGGCCGGAAAGGTGAGTGTGGAGAAGGAAATGCGGGTCAAATGAAAGTAGGAGCAGGTCTGTCACCTGCACACTCATTTAGTTTTTATCAGCAGAGTTATCAAGAGCGTGGAGCGGAGCACATTTAATCTTAAAAGATGCTTTTGAGTACATGCTTTTTCTGTGCTCAGACTGACAGTCTCTGGGTTCTGACTTGAAGGGGAAGGTGTGTTGGACTTGCCTCTCTGGCGTGTTTAAGCCTGCATGCCTGGCTGTACAGTTCAGCTATTGCTAGTGGTGTTGTGGTGTTTTGGTCACTGGAGCGTTGAATGTTTGGCTTCTTTCTTAAAATAAACCGGGTGTTGTCTGATAGTGTGACTGAAGGGAGTGACTTCTATGAAAAAAGGAGCCAGAAAAACTTATTTGTTCCTTTTTAGTTCCTGAAGCCACCATTCCCCAAGGGGCCAAACTTCAGCCCAGCAGCTGTTAGCATACCACAGAAGGCATTTTGCTTAATCCTTCATCTTCTCTCCACCTCACAGGGACTCAACATTTCTGAATTGTTCTGGTTTTCTTTCTGAGCTGCTTCCACTTAATCGTTTATCACATTTGATTGGTATATAAGGCATTTAACCGACCAGGTAGAAGAAACTTGTTAGCCATTTTGAAAATGTTTTGTTGCCACTTAGAACCCGGTGTAATGAAATTGGGATTTTCCTTTTGTTTAACTGATTGACCTAATCTTTTTTTTATTTTGGACTCCTTAGAACAAAACATAGAACTCTTCACTCCCATTGTCTCTGCCATTCAGCCTTTGTCACACCTAATCAGGGAAGTATTTGAGGCATTTGTTGAATGAGAAGACACATCTGAATGTTCTGTGCTCTTTTTCCCCCCCTTTTGTCTTCCTAGAGGGTTTCAGTAGACATTTAACGATGAACTTCATGGATATAAAGACCCTTGTTTCCCTTTTTCAAGTAGTCTTACACAGATATTTTTGTTATACCAGCTCATTTGATGGACAGAGTAGATTTCAGTGCATTCTTTTTTCACACTACAGTTTCAGTGTTTATATTTTTTAACTTCTCAGATCAGGTGATGACAGCAGTGAAACAAGAAAAGCAGTTTACGGAAGCGGCCTTGCACGCAGTGTTTATTTACCGTAGTGCAAACATTTTTCCAGTCTGTATGTTTCCACTAGTGACGATCACAAGATCATCCTATGACAAAGAGAAAGAAGTGACACAATGACAACAGGCCTATTATTTCCTGGTAGCGTGGTCTATGATCATGTCTGTCAAGCTTGCTCCGTGGCACTGAAAAGGCTTGTTTGTCACTGCCAGACCTCCCAGGGAAGGTCTGTGAATGAGGCATCATCACAGTCAAGCTGCAGCATGTCTCATTCAGCAACAGATCAGCACAGGCCTGGATGGAAAACGCACGCCCTCGGTGTCTTGTGCTCGGGGTGTCATGATTTTAGTACACTTAGGGGACGGAACAGCTGCATAAACTAGGGCTAGCCATTGCTTATTTTTCCATACTTGTTTATTAAAAGCTCCTGTTTGGGACTGTCAAACAGAGACCAAGAGGAGCAAATGCACCACCAGAGCTGCTCAAAGACACGAGGCCATGTCAAAATAGCACATTAGACCACTTAAAATGCAGTTTCACAAAGACAAAAAGGAAAACATTGTATTATGTTGGTAAAATTCTCACAACAGGACATGAAGCCTTTTCTGACAAGAAGATATTCAGAAACCTTGTCTGTTTTTGCTGGCTTTTTTTCATCTTTGTGAAATATTTTGTTCAGCCTGATGTCTGAAATCTTAAACAAAATTGACAATGCCCTCTCATAAATTCTTACAATCTGATGTTTGTGGGTCACATAAATGTGTCTCCTGTCAGAGCTGCTTTTGAGTATTTTTAAATCATGATGATAAGATAAAAGGTTAGACTCAAATAGCCAGAACCACAAAATCCTGACTTTGCATCTATAAGTGCACACTGCAAATGTGTGTTTAGTTGGCTTTTTGTTTTACAAGTGTGGGATATTTATATCATTCAAATGAAACTGTTGTTCCAGGTCTGAAACCACAAGCTTGTGATCTGGATGGTGTTTTTAATAACGAAGTCCCTTCTTTACTGCTCTTTGCCCTGTAAAACCCAGTTTTGTGTGTTAGAATTTGGACATAAAAGTGTCAGACACATTGCACACACTGTTGTGATTTTGGATCGTTGCTCAAAGGGGTTCAAATTGAGTCCCTGCTTGTGTAAACAGTGTAAATTACTCAAGACAATTTCTCACATCATGTCGATCTGAACTAAGAAGGTCAGGATTTCTTCTTAGTAATTTATGTTGTATATTTTTTTCTGAATGTTTTTAAAAGAAAATATAGCACACCTCCTAAACTTTGCACTGCTTTGAGTTGTCCTGTCAGAAACCAGAAGATTATAGATTAGGACAAATAGATTTTTGATCACATCATTGTTGTAAAAGGATTTAATTAGTTTAAAAACTCCTGAACTGTGAGGGTATTTGTTATCTAAATGTTTTCTGGTTAAATGTTAATTTGCTTAACTCAGTAATCCCATTGTTACACGTCAGCTACATTTTTCTTAAATAAGCAATCTATCAAATGAAGCGGGCTAACTACTGCTTTGGAACGTCTAAACCTAATGCATAAGTTCTTAGTCAGGATCGGGGAGGTTCATCCCTCTCCTTGTGTCCACTGAGGTTTAATGAGGCAGTTTATAACAGGAACAGGTTTTACCAGATTAGTTTAATGGTCTCTCCACTCATACAGCAATATTAACGTTAAACTGGATTTGAAAACGGTTTTCATTGGAGGGTTTGAACCTCTACAACAGAAATGAAAGGTTTCTCAACAAATTTAGAAAAAATCTGACCCCCGCTTGTTGGATGTGTTGTCTATTAGTCACTTATTCAATTTACTGCCACTGCAAATAAAGAGAAGTAAGGCCAAATATAACGGAGAAAATTATTTTCTGTTGTTTGATGGACAAGGAAGCCATGGTATGGATTCACTTAAATTGGTGGTTATGCAGTATTTAATTTCCTTTTTATTTAAGAAAGCTTAGTCTCTGCATCTATTGTAAGATGTAACTTTGTATCTTACACTAACAGTGACACTAGAAAATGGAACATTTCTCTTTTCCTCTTTGGCTCCACCTACAGTTGTGGGATGTAAACCCAGCTGTCACAAATGGCTATGTGAGGCCTGCAGATTCACAGACTGATATGCAGGGCTTTTTGTCTAGTTGAAGAGGACACAAAGACGCCATTAAAACCCCACAAAAATATCAAGCAACTGGGAAGCAAACCGTTGCGGTAAATTGCTGGGAACAAATGTTTTGAACTGCAGTGTCTTAACCCTGGTGCTATCTGAGACAGTTTTATCCCCAGGAATAAGCATAACCAGTGTTTGTATACTTCCAAACTAGTCAGGGGCGGCCGGTGTGACGCTCCTCTGCCTCTTTTATGTATTAATTTGCTCTGTACCCTCACCTCCAAAACCTCCATTTGGGTGATCACTAGCTACTTCTATGGATTTGGCTCATATGCTCTATGTACACAAACCAAAATAGTATTAATGTAATCCTGATAAATTTCGTCCCTCCATAATGACGTCTACCAATACCCACTAAAGCCAATCTCATGAATGTGGGCTGGATTTAGTCACTGCTTTTGTTTGCAGCTTTCTTAATTCTTATTTCTGGTATAGTTCAAATAGAAGGCTCAGATACAGTTTTCATGCCTACTTCAGTACCATAAAACCTGCAGCATAGTCAAGGGAACCTGTTGTCGTATTTTAACATAAAAAATGGACCCATAGGACTTCTAAAAGAAGGCATTCAGAAATTATGAAATTATGCATTGCACATATCTTCCACAGAGATAAAATGTTACTTAATATTTGTGATCCATATTTCATGTGGTCTGGCTTAAAAATGACCATATGGTAAGATCCATATTCCCTTAAGGAACTAGGAAATCAATACTATGACTATAACTCACTTTTTTTTTTTTTGTGAAGACACAGGTATTGGAAAAAAAGGATGGTTTAAAAAAGACAGTATGATGGTAAAGCAGTGGATTGTGACTGTTTTTAGAAGTAATGAATCTCTAGCTTAAAAAAAAAGAGTATATATATATATATATATATATATATATCTTGCAGGCTGAAGCTTTGATGCCTTAGTTGCTATCAAAAATATAATTGATTGAACTCCATATACTCCAAACATTGTGGTATATTTAGTAAGTATATTGGTTGTGAAATACCATTGTACACTTTTCAAGTTTAACTGGGATTTAAGAAGAATGGCAGTAAGTATTTGTTTTTTTTAATATGTAATACATCTAGTATTGTTCTGCTCAGGCAAAATACAAAACAAGAATTTGTGTTTGTGTGTGTGTGTGTATTCAAAAGTCTGTGTGTATGTGTACATAGTGTTTAAGGGCATTTGCCCACATAGCGATACTAATAATCCTTCAGTAGATGTGCCTCAGTGGAGCCTGTGACCTTGCATTGCTCGGATTCCACTGTTTGAATAAGCGGTGCCCCCACGTGAGACTTTGCAAACCGTAATTCAGAGCATTGAGTCTGCAAAAACCTTTCCTGTTTGTACAAAGACTGAATGCAATGACATATGAATGTTTCCAATGTTTGAGATCCATGGGCTCACTGAATATGGGCTCTCTTGTTTACACTGGTTTCTTGTCTGCTGTTTTTCATGTCAGGGAAGTGGTGACACAAAAGAAAATGTGTTGCAGCTAATCTTTAAACTCTATAATTCCAGCCCTATTCAAAGGAAAACAGTTTCTTGTTTACATTCTAAAGCTCTACATTATAGAAATGGTGTAATTATCTTAAACACTTTGTTTCGCATATTTGAAATGCAAGTCTAACAGATGGCCAGAAAACTTGTAAGAAAAAGGGGGAAATGCTGGTCTGTAATTTATTTTATTTGTCTGTGTGAATGTGTGCACAGTAGCCCAAACTGAAACTGCTGGTGTTGTTTCCCACACCATACTGACTGTTTTCTGGAATGTAAAACCTTGACAAATACTTAAAACACACATAAGAACAAGATTTGGGTTGCATGCCTGTTTTTGTCTGCTCCGTGTCATTTAAATGAGTTCCCATTTAAATGCAATATGCCATATACTGTGAACTCATATTCACTCAGTTCAAGAACCAACAGGGACCTCAGTACAGGACTAATCATTATGTTTTACTATCAGTGTCTCACATGTTTGTTCATTTACACCCTTTTCCTCTGGCCCAGTAAGTAAATCTGTCTGCTTGGTTGTCTTGTGACTCTGTGCTAAGTGGAGTTCAACTCTTAAATGTTACAGTCCTGCTGCTTGTAAAGGGGAAACTCTTGAGGGCATCTGTTTCTGTCATGCCATCTGGTGAATTTGATTTCCAATCAGAATTTGTTTGGTAGAAACCCATCCCAGTTTCATTGAAAGTTTTACTATGTCTCCCTGTTTCCAAACAATATAATAGTCCTATACTTTGTTGTCGATGACAGTTTTGTTTGTTTTTTAACTTCAGGGTTTCAACCAAAAGCAAAGCCCCATCCCCACCAGGACTGAAGAGGCTGGATTCTCCAGGTTTCTCTCAGTGGCTTTCTGCAAATCCTCATTTGACGATGGACCAGATGGAGAACCTTATAGATAAAGAGCTTTCACTCACTGTGGTTCTGCCCGGTGGAGTGGAAAAGATGACTGTAGTCCATGGAAGGTATGGTTATATGCCAATATTAGAATCAAATCATAATGATGTGAAGGATTATGCACATATGTGTTTGAGCAAGAGCACACATTGCTTTTGTTAATTTGAGCTGTATATCATGAGCCTGATGACAGATTAAGTCATCACATGATGTCCTACTTTAATCAGACCAAGTCAGATGGGTGGAGTAGCTTTGGTTTTAGTTAATAATGTGTGCACTGTTGCATACATGCATTTTTTGGTCACTGTTAAGCATTGATGAATATGTTTCAAACTATGTGAATTATCTAATATTTGAATGCTACAGTGTCATAATGATCCCAGTTAAATGCCTCAAGAAGTACCGTATCACCCAATGATCTTCAAATGTGTCAGTATCCCCAAATGTCTCTGTTTTCATTTCATAGTCCATTCTCCATCAGGTGGGGGTCTACTTAAAATATCCTTTGACACTGTTAATTATTCTGCTGTTATTACACCACATTCCACAAATGATTCAAATTCTCATTCATAAATTTTACCACTTTTTTTCAGATATCAACATCCACATTTTATTATGATAAAACAAATTCATATCCTGCTTTAGTGCTTTACTGAGATTATTCAATTTAATAACTATTTTCATATTTCCACGAAACTGTTGTTCATTTTTGCTTTTTGTTCATCTTTTTTAGCAAACCCTTAATGGATCTTTTGGTGACACTTTGTGGAAAGTATCACCTGAATCCGTCGAGCCACACCTTAGAACTGGTCACTGCCAATCGAAACAGCATCAAGCTCAAACCCAATGCCCTTATAGGAACTTTGGATCCAGAAAAGATCATACTGAAACCTAAAGGAGAGGATAAAAATAAGAAGACGGGTCCTCACATGCCTGAGGTACAGTGTCAGGATGGATTGCATGAGTTTTCTGTTGTTTTTGAATAAAACAAATAATTGCCTCTTGTATTCCCTAGGCAACTGTTCGGATGGTCATAAACTACAAAAAGACCCAGAAAACAATATTAAGAGTAAATCCCAGAGTTCCTCTTACTGAGCTCCTACCAGCAATCTGTGAGAAATGTGAATTCAACATGGATACCACAGTTTTGTTTAGAGATGTCCAGTCCCCGGCCCCTTTGGACTTGTCCAATTCACTTAACGATTATGCAATACGGGAGGTTTATGCAAGGGACACAAAAGGTAAGTTCCACTACCTTTATACCCTGCAGCTAAATCCATAGACACATAGTCGTTTTTTTAAAATCTTTTCCGTGAGGTACTTCTCATCCTTTCCTTCATGTACTTTCTTGTTTTGTGTGTCACTGAATGCCACCTGTTGGACACTGAATGTTTTTCTTGGCTGGTGGCTCTACAGGACAACTGGCTTCTCCTGTAGGCTCAAGTTCACCGACATGTGCAGGTATTTCATTGTTACACACTGCATGACTGATTTCAAAATACTTATCATATTGATTACAGATTGTTCTAATATCAACAATTTTTTCATGTGTCTCTCCAGAAGCAGTCACCCCCGGAAAAGATAAAAATCAGAAAGAAAAAGAAAATAAGGGCCTTTTCAGTATGTTTAGAAAAAGCAAGAAAAAGTCAGAGCAGGTAAATATTATATGTTAAAACAGTTACATCTCTGACACAGCAAATATGTATTTTTTTCAGAAAGCAAATGTAAATGTTCAGAGAGAGGTTTCTTTGCTTTAGTTTTCCGTGAGTTAATGTTCACTGTGTGTGATTCTGGAGGACCTGTTATCGCGTTCTGATTGGTCGTTTGCTCTTTAAAGCCAACAACAGCCAGTGCCCCGGCTTCTCCTGTGCTCGTGAGTAAGCCTCGACCGCTCAGTATGGCCTTACCCTGCTCAAATTCATCTCCGACCAGCTCTCCCACGTTCTCTACGGATGTGCCAAAGAAGAGACGTGCACCCCAACCCCCTATCCTGGTCTCTCAGAGCTGCCACTCAGACCTCAGCACCGCCCGGAGGCATAACTCTGAACCTACTGCCCAACTCGACCGTGATCAGGTAAGTGGACTTTAAACATAGGAAATAGACCCTTATGTTGGATCAAGATAAGCCTGTTATGATGCGTGATTAATTTGCTGTGGTGCATTGATTGTGTATAAATCTTGTCATGTAGATGATCAGTGTAAGTCGAGAGTCCTCAGCAGAGTCTTCACTGAAGAGAACCAAACGCAAGGCTCCTCCACCCCCAACATCTCCAAGTGCTCTTGTCCAAGAATCTGTTTGTCTAGAGGACACTTTGCAAGGTTTGCAGTTCTTTATTTGATACATTCAAGAGTTTCTGTCATGGTCTTCTAGTTTTTCATTTCATGCCTTCAGCAAGAAAGTTTGGTAAGAATTTTAAGATTTTGTGTAACGTGTACTTCAAACCTAAAACTTGAGTCTACTGTCGTTTTGACTCTTGCCCCTCCCAGTGGTTGTTAGAGTGAAGTGCTTCTTTTGAAACCACAGTGTGGTTAGACACACAATCTTCAGCATCTCACTGCATATCACTGAATGCATGGCCGCCTATCAGCCCGAGTGTCGATGGTGAACTTAAATCTTGTATATTTTTCCCTCTGTCATAGAGAATGTGCCTCAGTCACTCTGCTTGTGTGCTGTTCGTCTTGTTCATCCAAATTAGCTAAGCGTTGGACGTTTTTCAGACATCCTTATTATCATCTTTTGCACCCAGCAACCCATTTTCGCCTTTCTTTCGATCTTTAAACGGATAAACTCTTGAGATTCCAAACTTTAAACGATGTATGAGCTGAGAGTGAATTTTGTTCAGATTCCATGTCTGTGTTCTGGGGTTCGATGTGCTTTGCTATTTTTCTCGTGTTTGTGCAAATCGCATTGTTTTGGCCCACTTTCCTGTGATTGTGCATGACACATCAGACCCCATTGTTCAGCTCGGGAAACTCCACCCGCCCTGTAGACAGAACATTTTCAAGAAAACTGTCAAAAATATTATTCGCTCAGTTTTGGTGAAACTCAGTTTAAGCTAGTTTATATTTCTGGAATTGAGAGGATAATGAGTATAGATTATACTGTGTTCTCCCAGTCCCATAATATCCAGTCATGCATTGTTGTGGTTTTACTCACTAAAACAAGAATTTGTGCAATGTGTTCATGTATTTTAGGTATGTCAAAGTTTGCTTCTCTTAGTGTTGACATTCCATTGACCCCACTGTCAACAGTTGGCACGATAAAATTTAAGTTATTTTGGCCAGTTGCAGAACATTTTCTACAAAGCAGACTGAAGCCATTCTAGATTTATTTAATTGTGTAACGTTTTTGGGCCCCAAAAGCAAAATTAAGTTATTTTAATTAAATTGAATTTGATTATTGTAACCTTCAAAATGATGTGTCCTCAGTGTCCGTGCAGATTGTAATTCTCCTTCTTGTAGACTTTTTATAAGCCCACTAAATAACTGTCATTTTTGTTTTGCTTTATTAAATCTCTCAGCATCTTGTAACCCATAATCCTTTCACTATCAAAGTGGTTCCCTCTCAGAAAGTCACATTTTTACATCGGTTTTCTTTCATACAACATTGGCTTCTCCATTCCTGATGTTTTCAACATGAATTTCCCTTCAAAGGTTCACCCACCCTGCTCTTTCCATAATTGCCTCTTGTGACAGCATACATATTGAGATCAGAGATGAGAAACAACAAGCTTTGTTTAACTGGCCTTGAAATTCCTGTAGCTCCTGCGACTGTAAAAACATACTTCCTTTAGCAGCTAAATTGAGAAAGAAGATGTAAAAGTTTATTCAGTGGAATTGTATTCATTCAATCTTAATGTCCTCATGGGTGCCAACATATAAATAGCGTAATTGCATCTTTTTGTCATCGTGCCAACTGAATTAAGTTGCATCTTCGAGGCGGAAACTTTGTCTTTTATATACTTGTCGCTAAGGTCATTAACATCATGCACACAGATAATGGCTGGCTTAACTTTTCTTATTAATGAATGATCCCTTTTTTCTTTCCTTAAAATGTTTACAGCTATTACAACTGCTAATACACTGGAGGAGATCATGGAGCAAGAAGAGACGACGGCATCCGTCAAATCTGCAACTGCTAGCAGCAGCCAGGGAGAAGAAAGCAGCCTGAACATGTCGCCTGAAGAGTCACTGCATAGCCCTTCCCCAGACCTCGAGACGGAGAGCACCGTGTCAGTGGAGGGCAGTGGGGAAGATCAGTCTGTTGATCTGTCCTCAGATGGCAAGTACGAGCTTGAATAATGCTACTCATGGCTGGAACACGTTTATCTTGATTCTTTTCTTTTATGAGCATTTGCAATTCTTTGCTGTATTTGCTTTTTCTCACTCTATTCAGTCAGCTGCAGAGTGAACTGAAAGATTCTGCAGCTCTAAGTCCAAAGGAAACTGATGCCATAGAGTTTCCTGCGCTGACAGCTAAAGGTGCGTTTCAATTCTTCTTTTTGTAAATCTTCAATCTTCAGGAGGAATCAGAATTCTTTCATTTAGAGTAATGATGGTAAACTTCTTTGTCACCATTTATAAAAAAAAAACTAAGCAAAGACTTTTTTCTTCACAGATAGTGGTCCACTTCCAGTTGAAGAGTCTGTAGTTGACAGTGCTGTTAGCGAACACGGTGCTAGCAGCCTCCCTCTGCCTCCAACTCCGGATGCAGAGGCACAGGCCTCCGTTCAAGCAAACACTGAAACCCTGCGGGAGTTGACTTGCAGGTTAGAGAGTTCAGTGGCCACCAGCACATTGCGTCCCAGTGCCGAAGATGCTCAAGTGCAAACAGATTTCACACGGCTTCCAGTGCCTCCACAAGAACTGGCTGACGAATGTCCGTCGTCAGCAGATGTGCCTGCTGTAGAAACTTTGGGGGAAACAGATATGGCCACTTTGAGAGAGGAGCTGGAACCCTCTGACCCCAAACCTGCCTTATTCCCCGACTTGGAGATTTCATCGTGCAAAGATGCAACACCAAGTGCTCCTGCTGCAACAAAAGTGCCGTCTACGCTTCCTACAGACTCTGAGCCAAAACACAAGCCTTCCAACGAGCTGACAAGGGACTACATCCCTAAAATGGGAATGACAACATACACTATTGTGCCACAGAAATCTCTTGAGAAACTAAGATATTTTGAAGTTGCGCTGACACTGGAAGCACCTCCCGAAGCTCCAGCGGAAGGACGGGATGTTTGTTCTCTTCATTTGGAAGAGAGGATGGGACAGAATGAACAGACAGAAGTCTTGAAGGAAAAAAGTGAGCTGCATCCTAATTCACCCAGGGAAGACTTACTGACGAGCACTACTGCTACGACTACTGCCACAACGACAACTACTACTACGCCACACACTGTAAATGGAAGCCTACCCGAAGCTACTCATTCCTCATCGCCAACAAGTTTACACAGCGCAGACAAGATCTCATCCTCAGCTAATGAGGCGTCTCAAGCAGTTTCACCAGCAGAGGTCAAGGAGATGAAAATTCCACCCGCAACAAAACCTAAACCTACTTCTTTCCGCTTGGCACAGCACAAAAAAACACCTGGGTATTACGTAACTTCGGCAGCAGAGAAAAATCTTAATGCCACTCCTGGCCTTGGCCTCAAGGAGACTCAAGGGAGAGAAGAGAGAGCAGCACTGCCCCCCCCTCCCCCTCCCCCACCCCCTCCCCCTGTGCAGTGTCAGGAGGAGACAGAAGGGGCCAGTAGTGTCCAGCCGAGCCCCAAACCACATGGCGAGAATGCCTCTTTCATGAAGATGACGCGGCAAAGTAGTTTGCCAGCTAGAGAGCCTACTGTGGGGTTGAGCCTGGATAAATTAAGGAGCTTTGCAGCTCCCAGACCGTATTCTCCCGCAACTCCATCCCGCTTTGCACAGGCAGTGTCCTCTGCCGTGAAAAGGAGCTATTCCCTATCCCACAGGCCAAAGTCACCTCCCTTCTCCGTGTCACCACCCGTCTCTCCAATTACAAGTCAGTCATCAGTCAGAGATTCAGAAGGATTATCTAAACCCAAGGTTAGTTCTGATACGGTGTCGAGTGCTGATGTTAAAATATCTAACTAAAAATGAAAGCTCATGAGACCACAGTTGCTACACAGAGTTTCCTTTTATTTCAGTCGACACACGGACACCACAATTCTCCAGGGGATGCTCTTGGCATTTCAGACCAAAGCTCGTCTTTAAAATTTCTTTGTACAGAAAAGTTGTGCAGGTCGTAGTAGGATTGGGCTGTGTCTGTGTAATAGATTTATCAGCTACACTGACCAGTGGTTTTGTTATAAGATTAGCCTCTTACAGGGGACCAAACGTTCAGAAATTCTTTGTAACCCAGTAACTCAAATTAGCTCAGGGTTTGATGTGAACTAACATCTTCATATTTGAGCTTTCTGTGTGTCTTTTTATTTGATTTGATTAAAGTGAAGGAAAAAGTTAGTTGTAATTAATTTTCATGATTCATTTGACAAATTAGTTGAAGAAAACCAAAAATGGAGTCATTATCATTTCTCACATTAATAGCAATAATTTGTTTTGTGAGAATAATATTTCTTAAAACTGTTAAACTTTGTTCAACGATATTATTGGCTAATTTAGAGGTGTTTACTACTATGAAAATCTATTTGACGCATCACACTTCATTAAGATATGAAAATTGACATAATAAAAGTTCTGTGAAATATTTGATGTTCTCAATGTACGGGGTAAATTTAAATTCCAAAACAATTTTTACATTTTTAGATGTATTCGCATCTGCTATATCCCCAGTACAGTCTTTGTGCACAAGATGTTTCATAGGGTAACTGTCTACACATTCCTGTTTTTTCTATGAGGCACATGTTCTGTCTCAAAGGGTGTTGAAGTCTCCAGTAATTTCTTTGTTCTTTTTTTTAATTTTATTTTTTTTAACATCTCAGGGTTCTGAAAATAAAGACATGGATAATGATGACTTCACACTGCAGAGAGAGGCTGCTGTTGAAATGACGAGTGAAAGCAGTCCACAGTGATGTCTATCATCCACAGGAAGAAAAAGTCCCATATCCTGTGATATTCTTTCATTTTACATTTCATAGCACGTCCATCAAACTTTTTTGCAGGAGAACCTCCTGTTTTCCAATTTGAGTTTTAGCTCATGACACAAACAAAGAAATAGTCTTTTGTGGTACCTGTTTTAGTGGTCTTCACCAGCTGATTTATAATTGTGTATTTTTCTTCGTTTTTTCCCTCACATGTTTACGTAATATTCTTACATATTTTAATGTTTCTTTTATTTTATGTTTGGACTGTTGTGCATTTAATGCAAAGTGTTATGAGCAATCGGTTATATCAGATGAGAACAATTCTATAAATTATTAGAATCATTCCTAGAGCTAATACTTTTAGGTTTATTATTATTAAAATGTATTATCTAAAAAATACTTGATGTTAAAGAAACACCACAACTGACCTATGGTAAATATTTACACTTCAGATATATTTTAAGTATTGAGTTTTGATTGAAATGTATGGAGACAGTCTACAGTGGACTTTTTCTTGTCTGTAAGTGTGAATAAAGCTAGTACTCTGTCACTTGCTTATCTTTAAAAGGGGTTGTCATGATTATTTCCTCCTGTCTACTTCTAAATCTTGAATATGTTTTTACATTAGCTCTTCACCCATCATAACTCCAAATACTATGTTTTCAATTTAGGAAAACTAAGATTGTTGTCCAAGAGGATGTTTCCTCTTGTGAGGAAGAGGATTTGGCTAAAGTCTCTTGTGTTTGGTTAAGTTCCTGGAGGCTTGCCAAAGGGACCAGGGCTACAGGAGTTGAGGAATTCAGCTGCGGCAACTCATTTTTAACTGATTCAAGCTTACTGACTCTTTAGAGGACTGCCATTATCTGTGCATGTTGTTCATATGTGTAAAGCTTTTATTCACTCTAAAGGACACTGAACTCTATCATTTACTGCCTTCTAATTCTTAACCTTCAGTTAGCTCTGCACGCATTATAACTCCACATACTATGCTTTTAATGCAGGAACACTGAGATCTTTGTCCAGGTGGTAGTGTCCTTTGTGTCCTTTAGAGAAAGAAAGGATTTGGCTAAAGTCTCTCCTGTTTGGTTGAGTTCCTGGAGGCTTGCCAGAAACTTCTGGGGGAGAAGTCCACCACTCCTCTTACTGGTCATAAAGTTGTAACAACTCATTTTAAAAGGGGAACAAAAGAAAATCCACAGATGTATGTTTTTCATTCATACAATGAAAGCAAACACCACAGGCTTATAACCCTTACAGCATCTTGCCATGCCCTGAGGAGTTGTGGTCAATCATTTTTTCTATACAGTGCAAAACCATTTAAAATATTGCAAGTGAATTATGTTTATGCCCCAGCTCATCCACAAGAAAGCAACAAGCAACCTCATTCCCTGCAGAGGCTCTCGTTTCCTTTTTATTGTGTTCATTTGTTTATTTTTTCATAAAACTGGAACAAAATGCAACTTTGCCGATTTTCTTTTGCAACAAATTAGCTTGTCACTGACTTGTGTTAGCTTGTTGTTACTGAGGGAAATTTAGTTAGTTTCATTTTACACAGAGATACTTCAGCTTTAAGAAGATGAAAGTATTAGCACTCTTGGCCACTAAATTGGCCAACAGAATATTTTATTTAGATGCACAAATTATGACAAAGGAGGTTTTGCACACAAGACACCTGATGGGAGTATTTTGCTAAGGAAAAGAATAAACACTAAACTTTTTACGCTACACCTTGAGTGTGTGTTTGTGTGTGTGCATGTCTATACATATATACATATATATATATATATATATATATATATATATATACATACACACATACATAAGAGAAGTCAGTAGCTGTTAATGTACGGAGTTATTGCTTTAACCCCATGCTGTCTGTTGGTCTACTGTTAGTCTATAGTCAGGGTCTGTTACACATTATCTCACAGAATGATGTTATCATCCCAACCATCCCCCACATGGGGCCTGACACTGAGTGACACAGCCAGAAACTCAACCAATCTTCTTGGCTAGCGGCTCTTTACAACCATAGGCCAACTACAGTGCACTAAGTTTAAAGTGCAAAGTCCAGCGCAAAAGAACAGTTGGATTTACAGCTCTCCTGGATTCATTACCAAGCTCTTTATTTGACTTTTCTTTGAGTGCACAAATCCTGACTTCTAATCTGACAATTTGAATTAATCAAAGAGTATGAAAATCCAATAAAGAAATGAGTTGATTATTGATAATTAGCATGTGCCAGACGAAGGATAACTGCTCTCAGAGTCATTGTGTTAAAAATATCTTTATTGTGGTGGATCATGTTTGGGTAGGAGGGATCGTTTTGCCCCACTGGGCCAGCCCTGTGGGCAGCTGATGAGCCGGAGAGAGAGTTGTGTTTGTGTGTACATGCATGTGTGCACTCTGCTGAGCTGTGAGCTGAGGAGCCCTGCCAGCCAGCCCGCTCCAACTGTGCACTCGCTCCAGTTCAACAGCTCTGCACTCCCGTCTGCTCCAGATGATGCCTTGGATTTAGCTGACCCATATGGGTGATATGAATAGGACGCTGAATAAAATACACAGTTCTACAAGCCTCAAACAGAAAGCAGAGCTTTTTCAGAATGGCAAAGGGAATGTGAGTGGCTTTCCTAGCCCAGCCCTCAACCCGTGGCAAGATCCTTTACTAACGCCAAATGCTCCGAAAACCAGGACTAAGCTGTGCAATGGGAACAGGTACGACTCATTTTTCTTTGCACACATTGTGAAGGGCACGGGTTTATTTATAGATTGCCATCATGATAAAAGTACTTAACTGAAAGAAGAAGATTCCGTTCCACTTCCTACAGTGGGAGCTGAACCATAGAAGCATACCAGAGTGTTTGTATTTGCAGGAGCCAGTGAGAGATGCCCTTTACTAAGCTTTGCTGTAAGGGGTAGGCTAGAACACTTATGGATGAAGTGCGATCTTTTACTCTGACATTGCATTTAGAGAACTGGAATAATTCACCAATTAGTTTGTGAGAAAGTGGTCGATTCAGCAGAAGACAATGTATTCATCAGCTTGTGTGTTGAAATTTAAGTTTTGTTGACATCATTGGCAAAATTAGTGTCTACAATAAACAAAAGTAAGTAGCTTTAAGCTCTTAAATAAAAAGGAAAAAACATTTCCTGATGCTGTGTAGTGATTTCTATTTAAAGTGAAAAGTTATTATTGTATGTATGTAGTTGGGCAGTGTTATGTATGAAAAAAGATTTTCAGATCAGGACAGATTTTATTTAAAAAGAAAATAACAGTTTGATAACCTTTTCTCAATCAATTCCATCAAATACATGTAAAGGAAGTATATGAAGTGCTGTTTTATTTAAAGAAATGTTACTGAGTGGGTGTGTCATCAGTTTGTTCAGAGCTGGGGGGGGGGTCTATGTAAAGAAAGCTATTCTTCCACTTTGTTTATGAGCTTCCTCATTGTGCTGATGCACAGAAACAACTGTGGAATCATAGTGTCACAGTATATATTTATATACTGTATGTATAACACAAGTTTGTATGCCACTTTAATGACCAGTTTTTTAATGAGTGGGTTTGTTTAAACCTTGTCAGATGTCTGTTTGATCCATTTCCTCAATGAGACCACAGTATTACAGTAGATTGATTACAAAACTAAAGGATATCAAACACATTTTCATCTAAGATATGCAAGCTTGTTTTAATGAAGTATCTCAAGATGTTTGTCTCCCTTTTGTATTTGGGCCATGATTCTTTAGGAGCATTAACGAGGGAGAGGAGTCCTTATCTTCTCCTGTTAGAAACCTGGTTCCTGATCTTCTCCCTTCAAGCCTCTCCCCTCTTGTCTCTGAATGTTTATTGCCATGGACCAAAAGTAGTGCAACTCAGGTGAGTGCCCCATTTACAGTGCATAAGGCAAAACATTTGACAGAATCAGGTTTTTGTTGCCCTTGGCAGAAAATTCACTAACTACGATTTGAAAATGAGTCAAAGAACAAGTGCAAGGCATTTTAAAAACAGTTCTATTTGACTTGAGATTTGTTTGAAACTCTAGGACATGTTGATGGTTGAACCGGTTTTTGCGTATGGAAATTAGAAGCAGTGAGATCAAAAATGCAAAGTCAGCATGCTCACCATGTTAATATTCATGGAAATGCAGGTTTTCTGCCCACACAGAATGTTCACACAACAGGGTGAAAATGAATGACACAAATTACATGTTATTCTACTTGTAGATTTACATTTGAAACCAGAAAAATCACTCATGCTGACAATAGTAAAAACAGACAGAGGAGTTTATCTCCACTGAATTCTTGTATCATGTCAGAATTACTAACTTACTACTAACAGAATTACGACTATACTAACTCACCTTTAAAAAAAAGTGATATCTATCTTCTGTTGAAAAAATAAGTAGATAAATATATTACTTTTGGAAAATTGCCAGTCTCATTAAAATTGCTATACTCTTCATCTGTCCAACATCAATTATGGGGCAAGACCTTTGATATAAACATTCTTAACAATGATATATCACCACCCTGTTGGTTTATATAACCAAGAGTAGTTCACAGAAGAACTTTAAATGTTGGGACAGGGGATAAATAAAATGGTCCCTTTGGACACAGACCCCCAACTCCTTTCCTTAAAGTCAGGTGAGAGGTCTAATTAAAGGATGTAATTAATGAATTTAAAGTTAAACTTTTTAGGTTTAGAATTCATAGCCTATGGCAGTTTCCCATTGTCTGTTTTTAATCAAAGCAGATGATGAACATGGTCTCTTTTGGCAGCTGTACTGTTACACACTGTGATGAATGTGATGGAGCACTGATTGACTAAGTCACTGAGCTTTTATTAGCAGTGTTTGAACAGCCCCTGTGTTAGAACAATTCCCATTACAGTATAGATTAGGTTTGTCATCACATTTAGCTTTTTTTGTAAGTCTTCTCTTACCAGATTTTCCAGCTCTGTGCTCCCTCGCTGTTTGGTTACATAAGTCACTTGGCCAGAGTTTTGGCCACAGTTTAAAAAAAAAAGCGATAATGTTTTTGCTAACAACATATAAGTTTACAATGTTTAATATGCACATTCATGAGCAGCAGCATGAAGCTGAGAGGCCAAATGAAGAGGGAAAATTAAAAGTGCTCGGATTGAGAGGGGGCTTATTCTTCTTGAAAATCTAGCATTTATAGGATGTTCCCTATAGTACTTTTCTCTTGTATTTCTGGTTGGAGAGTTGAAAGTAAAGACACAACTCACAGAATACCTCAGCTGCTGAATTGCTCTTTACAGATACTTTGGCTTGTGCCCACAAGGTGATTTGCACATATTGTATATGATATAGGGGATCCACATCCTGGAATTAGTACATTTATCATTTTGGATAGCAACAGTAACAATTATCTGTCTGCTTCAAATGTGCATGCTTTTGTCTATAGATTTTCCAGGGCAGTTAGTTTGGCTTGCCAACCACAAAACATTTCCTGGATGTGACTCCTGTACTGTTAACTTGAGTTGGATTCAGTATCTTTGTGTGTGTTAGTGTGTATGATGTCTCTGAGTTTGGGGGCGGTTAAAAGCCAAGACTCATTGTAAAGCTTAAACCTGTCTGTGCTCATGTTGGTTTGAAGAGAAGGTAAATCAGGCTTATTAAGCTTTTTTAACGTACATAACACATAGGATGTTGACAGTGTAATAATTCCAGTTCTTTCCTTGCACTATAGTAATATATCTAGATCATCTGATTGTCTAAAATGAGCCGTATATCTCTAACTCCTCTGGACACATCTATTGCATGCACATCAGAAATTACACAGTGACGGCTGATCACACAGGATATGTATGGATGTAGTCATTTGTGCTTTCAATATCTGAATAATCCTAATTCACATCTAAGGGGAGAAATAATACCCAACATAATTCTAAAAACCAATAAGTTTCCTTGCAATCAAATCTTTAAGTGATCCTGCTGTGTTTTAATGCTGAGGCCTGCTCCTCGTGGACTTGACAGACCT